TCGGCCGAGTATGTGGCGTTACATTGAAAGCTCCACCTCATTTAACACCTCGCGCTAAAAGCCATCATTATTCCGTTTCGTCGGAAAAAAAGAGCAGACAAGCAAGAGTGAAAAAAGCGTTAATACGGGATAATACACGGGCCCCTTTGCCCACGCAGCAACAGCAGCAGCAGCAAAACGCAGCAGCAGCGATGATGGAACACATACGGGAAAGCGTCCTCGTCATCGTATAACTACTGCCGCGAGTCAAGGCGCGAAATACAAAACACAACACACAATCGCTCGTTCGCCGCCGCCGCTGCTGCTCGCCTCGTAATTGTGCGCCGGAAATCCAATCCGTGCCATTGTACGTTGCAATGTTAGGCGCGACAAAGAGAGAGAGAAGAGCAGAACGAGAGAAAGAGAGAGAGGGAAGGAGAGAGAGGAAGAGATAGGAGCGCGCGTACAGTACAATGAGAACGCGCGAAAAACGCTCGGGGTCCTTTTGCTTAAAAGCGATGGATGCTGCGCCGTGAGCTTCTCTACCCCGCGCGTGCTAATGCTTTTTTTTAGTTATTGTTCGAGTAAGAGACTTTTTCGAGAGGATGCTCGAGTCGAATAGACCCGGAGGAATATATATAGCTCTGTGTGTATGTGTGTGTATCTGTCTGCGTTGACGTATTTATATATAGGTGGATCTCTCGACGCGAGAAAGGAAGATTGTTCTGTCAGTTTTTGTATAATCGTCACGAAGATCGCGAGTTGAAGGGTCTTGGAGGAATACGCGCTTTGGAGTTTAGAGCTGCCTCTCGAAATCTATTTACGCGCATAACGAGCTGGTACTCCCTAAATACATTATCGAAACGGCTGCGTCGTTTTGTGCGCGCGTGTCAATACCTCCGTGTACAACAATAATCGTAGCTCCCTACGTAATTTGCCATTAAAACCCTGTATAGTCGAATCGTCTGTACATCGAGTAAAGCAGTAACGATTTGCATCCTCTTGACGTCACGATAAACAATAACAAATGAACTAGTCCGCAAAAATGATTCATTATTTACGACCGCAACAAACGAGATGTTTATACTTATCAATTTTCCAGTCGCGCTCGCGTATACTCATTTTACAATCGAAAATAATGAAAATTGAGATCGCGCGAAGGCGTCCCGAGGAATAGTATAGTATAGAAGCCGAGATTATGATAACTGCCGCGTCGGGGTCTATACTATAAGCAATAGCTTGAGCTGGTACGATAAGCGTAGGTTGCAGCTGCAGTTTTTTTTATCAAAACCACGCGACTATGCGAGTCTAAGTGTGTGTTTCTGCTATTTGATATTGCTAGAGTTGCGGCTGTATCGTGGCGGAAATGCATAATTAACAGGTACATATATACATATAAATGTATGTACAGCTATAGCGATGCCAGCCGAAAGATAAACTTTATATTTATTGCGCTCGTTTAGAGAGACAGAGAGAGAAGACTTTGCGCCCTGCCTCGGCAACAAAGATGAAATAACGTTAATGAGTTAGCCATTAGCTGTATTTAAAACTCGAGTAGATATATGTTACTTCGCCCTTTGGCGCGCAATTGTTTTATTATCCCCCGAGAGCCGCTGAAACGGAAAAATAGTTCATAAGCAGTTAATATTCAATTAATGTAACTGGACCTCGGCAGGAAAAGTACGTACCTATACATCTATATGTACAAAATGTTCACACGATAAGATTAGTTACTTAGACACGGAAGAGTCTAGACGCATCGACCAGAAAAGAAATCGAAGTAAATCTTGGGAAAGCTATAAAACTAAAAGCAAGGTGTAGCCGCTGACTTTCTCGAACGTCTCGAATCAAATCTCAATATGAATAGGATATTCGAGTTTACGAGCGCAAAAATCGATCTTGTATTCATTGATAAATAATAAATGGTAATAAAAATGATGTTCGAAACGAGGACGTGTGAGAGATCCGTAACATATTTTCATTCGCATGAAAAATTGTGAAACATATCTAAGACCACACTAAAATGATCATCTTAACTGGATAGAAATGCTCAACATTCAGATTGGCTTCATTTAAAAAAAATGACGATTAAAAATGTTTCCAAAAACATAATCGTTGGTTGACTAGGTTCAAGCGATTTTTTTGTTGCAATTACATTACAAATATGACGCGTAGATCAAATGATTAACTGAAAAGACAATTTGATTGATTCAAAGATTTAGAACATCTTTCAATGCCAATTTTCATTTAAATATGACAATACTAATTTGATCCTCCGCTACTAGATGGCGAATACATTTACCCGTCCATCTGCAAGTGGCAAAGGTAAAATGATTGTATAAGTCAAAGCATGGCTTTAAAGTAATCTAAGATTTTCTGTTTTTTTGTACTATGAATTTAAATCCAATCTGCCCCACTAGATGGCGAGTACGTTTATCCGTAAATCTGCAAATAACAAAATTAAAATAATTGCATAAGTCAAAGGACAGTTTTAGTTCACTTATAAATATCTTTGTTACGGTATACTGAAAATATAGTGTAAAAAATATATTTCATAAATTAAGCTCGAGCGAATTCACGAATTGTATTTTCCGCGTTCTCGCAACTGCGACCGTTAAATAAATATGATACCTTTGTATCGAACGCACCATACGTCTCCCACGCTCTTATTTCTCTACGTATTCGCGTATAAAAAAGCCACCGGCGCACACGCAGAGTCTGTATTTCTTGCATGGACCGTTTAACACCGACTCGCGAGGATAGGTGGATTTAGCTATATACTACTCGTGTACATTGGAGACTTTGGTCGACCAAGTAAATATTTTCCTTTTCCTCTAACTCGTTCTCTCTCTCTCTCTTTCTCGCATTTCTTTTTTCGCGGTAGCCCAAGCGAATAGTCTACCTGCTGCGCCTGTAATATATCCTCGTATAATAGTCGTAAGAGAGTTTCCTCGGCCATCGATCGAGCCTCCTCCCCCCCGAGCCATCGACGCGTAGATAAGGGAAAACGGACCTAAATATATATCTATTGTGTATGCAGAGATTCAATTCGACGTCGTTTACGTATTCTCTCGGCGTGTATACTGCACGCGCCGCGTTGAACGATGGCGCGTAGCTGTTCGCACGAAGCGATATACACGCAGGCACGAATTTAACCCGATATCCGGGAACATATTTTTATAACGACGCCTCTTTTTATCGGCGAATTCTCGGTAAAGAGAATTATGTGTAATGCCTCGTTTCAATGAAGATTCGAGCCCGATTCGCTGACGAGAGAGATACGTACGCGCGAACGCTTAGTTAATGTTCGGCAGCTACGCGCGTCGAAGTATGCAACGCTGCGTTCAATAAGTTTATCAGCTCAACGCCATCGTACGGCTGCCCCGTTCTCCTCTCCCTTTATTTATATCTACGCCTCCAAAATTTGACCGGTACACCGCTCGACGCGGACAAAGAGATAAGAACCTTCGCAGCCGGCCTATAGACTCTCGTAACATTCCTCGTATTTTCCATCAGTCCGACGACATTATCATCATCATCGCATCATCATCATCAGCAGCAGCGGCAGACTCATCTCACGTCCTTTCGAGCTCGGGCAGTCCGCATTCCACCTTTATTGTCCGAAAAGCTTCTCTTTCTCTCTTTGCCTCTGCGTCTCTCTCTCTCGGCGAGCAATTCAGGCCGAAACACAATGGACTGTATATGCGTACAGCCGAGTTTGGGTGCGCCCGCGCCGTTAATATACCGGCACGCCGGAGCATAAGCGGAAATGCGCATGGAAGTGATGAGAGCACTGGCCAGAGCGCTCGAGTGCTCGGTATATAGGTGCACCGTACAATATACACATACATTCTCCGCTGCCATTGAGCTTTGAAGATACTCGACGAGTCTGGACGCGCACACAAACGAAACATAAACAATGAGGCGTTGATTTATAATATATAATAAATATTTTTTCGAGTTTTTCACTCGCTACGGTTTGTAAATTTGTCTTTTATCGCCCGAAGCCTCGTTACACAATGTAATCCTTCCTCGCTCGCACCTGAGATATTATTTATTTATTCATCTCGAGGCATATAGCGATCATCGCTCACGCCCTGCATCGTAAATTGCAATTAAGAAATTTTAATAAATAATTTCGCCTCTTAGATGCACACTTATACCAAATACGAGTGAGAGAAGTAGAGAGGGCGAGAGTTTACTCTTCATAAAACGATACTATTGTAATGCATAAACGTAGCAATATAATAAACGTGCAAGCACACGATGCTTCGGACGCGCGTCGGCGCAGAAAACGTTAAAATATTCCCCAGCGGCTGACACGTATAGCGCATAGCGCGCGCAACACATACACTCGTGCTCTATAAAGCTCTCGCTCGAGCAAGAGGCCGCATAAGCGAGAGCCGAGCGTCGAGAATGAATTTTTCATTCCCCGCGCGCGCGAGCTTTAAACAAGGAGCTCCGAGTGCCGAGCGAGCTGCAGCATCTCAATTATTACCAATATCCATTAAGCAGTGCCCACAAACTTAGTCCGTTGCCCTTTCGCACTCACGCGCGTTGCCTTGCCTTGCCTCGGACGGCTGGTTAGTGTTGTTGCGCGCGCGCGCCTCGCTTGCACACGTCTGGCCATTAATTTTTGCACCAACACTCTCTACACTGTATACAGCGGCAGCAGCAGTGCTGCTACGTAGCATCAACAACAAGCTATAAAGCCCCGAAGACTATGTACAATGGCTCGGCGAGCAGCATCGAAACTGCCTATTATGCAAAGCGACTTTTTAACGGCTATTCTATATATCGCGCATATTGTATACACCTTGCTCGTTCATACGCATAAACTGTACGATGCACTCGTACTGTTTTTCTGTGTTGCATAACGATACAACATCAAATACTAAAAATCGAATCTGTTATTCGATGTTGCAGGAGCGATGTCTTTCTCGAGTCGTATCTCGATCATCAGCAGCAGCCCGAGCAGCAACAGAATCAGCAGCAGCAGCAGGAGCAGCAGCAGCGTCAACAGCAAGAGGATGAGCAGCATCATCGTCATCAGCAACAGCAGCATCGATCAGTAATGCCGTCGTCGTCGGCAGCCGTAGCCGAACAAATGCTGATGCATCAGAGGCAGCTCGGACAACTCCATCATGTGCAGGTGAGGCGTAATGAACGATACAATAGATAGACATTTCCTCGTCCGCAGACTCCGTAAAGAGCGAGCGAGCGAGCGAGCCAAGCATATTAGTTTAGTAGATGAATGGACGAGAGGAGTACGTGTCGCCGCGCGCAGCCTATACTGTATATACTTGCCAGACCGAGCGTTGTAGGCCTCCTAAAACAAGCGAGTTTATGCGCGTTTCATTATTATACGTACATATCGCCTCTAGAGCACTCGTCGCGTACTGTACAGTATACAAGACTATTATATATATTAGTTCGGCTCATCGAATATCACACCTCTCCCCCCTGCTCGCGTGTGCAGGACGATCGAGCTTTCAGTCGTTGCTCGGACCCCTGCCGCCGCCGCCACTGTCGGTATAGGATGTCACGATCGCGTCGAGTCGTTATCGCTCTCCGCGCACCGATGATGATATCGTCACCCCAGCGCAGGAAGGTATCTATTTCCAAGCTGTAGCAAAAAGGATACTTACTCGCGCGCAGAGGCAAAAAGGTATCTAACTCGCGCGCAGCGGCAAAAAGGTATCTAATTCGAGCGAGAAGCAAAAAAGTAGCTTATTCAAACGAAGTGGCAAAAAAGTTTTGACGCGCTGAATTTAGGTTGGCAACGCAGCCGTAAATGATAAAATTTTGTTTTGTATTAGAGCAAAAAAGAGAAAAAAACAATTGAGCTAGAGTAATGATTTTCATCCATTTCCAATGCGAGCAAACAAATCAATCTCGCCGCGATTCCGACTCAATATGCCTCTTATGGAGAACTTTGTATGTTCTGAGAGGAAAGTAGAAGTTATCGGCTTTACATAACTTTGAATTAAATGTTGAATGTTGAATGTTGAAACAAAATTTTATCATTTACGTCAGCGTTGCCAACCTAAATTTAGCGCGTCAAAACTTTCTTGCCACTTCGTTTGAATAAGCTACTTTTTTGCTTCTCGCTCGAATTAGATACCTTTTTGCCGCTGCGCTCGAGTTAGGTACCTTTTTGCCTCTGCGCGCGAGTAAGTATCCTTCTTGCTACAGCTTGGAAATAGATACCTTCCTGCGCTGGGGCGACGATATTTATTTGAGATTGCCGTGTAGCCGCGCGCCCCGATACGTATCGGCTTTATAATTGATACGAGTCGCGCGTGTGAGGTAACACGAGATTATGTCTGTATATATACGTGCCGTCGCAATTGCGACGAGGAGCATTAATATCTCTCGTGCGTTGATGTGTCGCATATAGCCGCGAGCTCGTCGACGAACTCGACAGTCAATCGACGAGGTACGCACTAGAAAAATCGATTTTTTTTCGATTCGACGGAAACTCTCTCAAAGTTTTCAAAATATCGAATGATTTCATTTTTCGCATGATTTCAACTCGTGTAAAGGAAAAGTCGCTGCTGATAAATTGGCAAAGAGTTTACCCCTAAAAGTATGATAATTCTTATTTCTATGTACAACTAAAGAAAACGAAGCCTTCACCAGATTTTTAAGAATCTAGCTTGAACTTATACAAATATTTTCACTTTGCCACTTGCAGATTTATAGATAAAGCTACTCGCCATCTAGTGGTGAAGGTTCGAAGCAGTGAAAACTACTCTGAATTTTTTTTAAACCGTTATAAACTGTCATCGTCATTTGAGATGCGAAATTATATACGTGACTTATAAGCGTTGATTTTCTCGATCAACCGTGTGGTATAATTTTTTTCGCGCGAAGACCGATCGAAAATCTACGCACGTGTATTGGCGAGCGTTGCCGTTTATTTCCCACAGCAAGCGAGCTAACGTCGACGCGCGTATTTAACTCCGCCACCATCTCTATTTCTATTGTCAAACACCCCCGCGCGCGCGCGCACGAGATTAACTTCCGCCTACCAACGCGATATTTTTAACTCGAAATAATCCACGCACTAGCACGAGCAGCCGCCTACGCGGCATCATGTACACACGCAGCAACAGCAGCATCGCTATAGATATCGAGCCACATATAGCGGCACAATCTATCGCGCTCCGCAAAATCAATATTTATGACATCGAGCGATCGGTATCTCGCGCAATTATAGTTTCGCGAGCATAAATAATGCTATAAGCTCTCGGACCGAGCTATCACGTGCATCGGGGCTTACATCGCATTATATATCCAGCGCACGTCACATCGATCTCAAAAATCAGTTGCCCCGGCTCTCTTGAATATGATATACAGGCATTCGGATCCTCGTATACATACAGCTCGGATATTATGATCCTCCGCACGCAGCTGTCGAAAATGTGCTGTAAACAACGTACGCACGATATATAACGGCTCGGACGCACACACACGCACATATTCAACGCGATAATGTTGCCCATCGGCCGATGGAAAATTAAAGTCCTCGCACCATCGAGACGTCACAATCAATCTTTTTTCCGAGAGAGAGAGAGAGAGATACATACATACAGTGTGTGCGTGCGGTGCAGGGATGAGCCGCCGACGAATTGTGTGCGGCTAATTCAATTTGAAATGCAGACTGACACACGCACGCGGCCAGTTTAGAGACGAGCGAGCTCGAGAGTGAGTAGACTGTGAGCGAGAGGAACAGACTAAAGGGATTAAACGTAGACGTGCCGGGCTTACCGAGTGCTGCTGCTGCTGCCGCTGCATATAAAGCCTATATATGTATATGCGTGTACAGTTCGTAGGTCACTAATTGCAAATGTCCCTAATTGCTTGTCACGAGACCGAGAGGACGAGAAAACTTTGCATGCGGAGCATGAAAACCCGTTACCACAATGTATATACGGCAGCAGAGCTTTTCTCCGCGTGCGGAGCACATTTTTACCTTGCGCGATATCATCAAATGTGCTCGGATTCGGTTTTGGAGCTCTCGCAACTTGCGCAAGTCGAAATTCGGCATAGGTGAATTCGCGTTTCCAAATGTTGCCCACCGCCGCCATGCGCACACCCTGGTTTTGTGCGTGCGTGAGCATAGCAGCGAGGGACGACGTGTGTCACGTGCGGTCAATTGTTTTGGATGTTTTGGAATTAACTTTAATTGCTCGTCTGCGGCATTGATTCGAGACGTGTGTCTCGTTTGTATGTGGGTACGCGCGCATATTCGACTGGAAATGGCGCCTCGTGAGCTGCCTGTGAGATAATTATCAGTTTATTAATTTCGGATTTGTGCGATATATTTAGCCTTCGAGGCAGTTTTTGTGTAGTGATTAATGCGTGAGAATTTTCGGTACATCGAAATCGAGAAAAATATTAATTTATAAATGATCGAACTCGAATAATAAAAAAAAAAAAATCCAATAGAGACAAAAAACCTATACGATGTATAGAAATACCGGCTTATCTGATGCAAGGCGCAATAAAAGAAGTCGCGAGGCAATTCGACGAGTATACGATCGATCTCAATCAATCGGGCATTATATAATCGAAACAAGGAGCAAAACAGACGATTTGCGACAGAGACGTGGCACCGTCTGTGCGCAGCAGTGATTCCTTCGCATCGTAAATCGATTCGTTATAACTCCGTATATAGAAGAGCGCAAATAACGATAAAGCCAACGCCATACTGATTTTTTTTCATCTCTATTTTTTTTTTTTTTTTATTTTGTTTGCACCCGTGTGTATTTTTGGTACTTTTGACTCATACGTAGCAATACGCCAAAAGTCTCTGATGGAGATATTCCCCGTCCGAATATACATATTGAAAAAATATTTTAATCCTTTCGACGAGCGCGCTTTGCTTTTATAAATAATCAATACTCGCCGTAATAAACGTGAAACGTTGAATTTTCAAACTCTTTTTGACGGAGATACACTTCCCACCGTATGAAAGGTTTATTTTTCCTTTCAAATTTGATATCGCACTCGAGTGTTTTACATTTTAATGATGATTTTCCTAATAGACCGGCCACTCGAGAGCTTAATCCTTAACATTTTCAATTTTGCTCTCTTGACCCTCGCTGTATACACCGACAAGCTATTACCCCGATGGCGAGAGCTCCCTCGATACGCCATGAGCTTTTCACAAACTACCCCCCGCTATATAACCAGCGTAATCCTGAAAATACCTGTATAAATTACCCTGAGTCGAGCCCGAGTCGATAGTCGAAAAAAAAAGAAAAAGAATGAGCAGCTGCACGTATAGATGCGTAAACGCGTATATTGTCGTAGCTCATCGTTTCCTCCTTAACCTTGTGATACAGCCTCTGGTAGATTAATCGGAGCTCAATTCGCGCAGACACGATATAGTTACACGCACTCGTTCTCGAATCCATACGTATAGGTGGTCTATGTAGTGCGAGAGAATATGGAAATCAAAGCCATTGCTTAAGCTGCAATTTGAGGGAGGCGCGCGCGCGGGCTCTTTGTAAATCCTCTTTCTCTCTATATATGAGGCATCTACTGCTATATGTGGGTGACAATACACTCTAATACCCAAGCGCGTTGTATTCCCTGTTGACTTCAAACCTCCTCTATCTCTTGCTCAGTCTCTCTTTCTCTTTCTCTCTCGGGGCTTATCTCAATTTGCAGCTCCGCTCTCACTATAGAGCGTTAAATGTATTGTATGCGAGTTTTTCTTCGCAAGATCGTGTTACGGCGTGATATACGCATTTGGCTAATTTTCCTCTTTTGTTTTTTTTTATCTCGCGAAAGGTCCGAGAGTAGGAAACATTTTATAACGAACGTTCAATGAAGGTTTTGTTTATGATTCTGCGCGAGCTGGAATTTATTTTCATTGACGCTGGAACGAGTGCTTTTTGAAATATACGGATGATAAAAGCCGTTTGATTTGAAAAATTATTATTGGGCGTATGCAATTTATGAAAATAACGTTTCTTGATAGATTTTTCTTCCTCCACAAATAAGCTCTGTGATGGGCTCGACAAGAAATGTTTAAACCAGACGCATCGTAGGTCGATTTGGCTTACATATTTGTAAACTATATTCAATTCCCAACAAATATTTGAAGCTCTTGTGGCTTCTGGATAATTTTGCCAAGATCAAAGTACAGGCCTTCTAAAACATTGTTCTTTTTGCAAGGTTGAAAATGTTTTATTTTGGGAAAATGTTGGCAATTATTAATGCATTTGTGTGATAACGTCTTGAGTGTAAAAAATTTTGCAAATTAGTTATTTTTAAGGGCGAATCTGCTTGAAATGAATTGTTTTATTTTTCGGTATTCTCCAGGGGTTGTAAAATATACGAGTTTATATGCTGCGAAGGGTTATCCTTACCTATGATCGGAGCCAAGTAATAATGGCAAATTAATGTCTTTTAATTATTAGACACAGATTGTTAACAGTAAATTTGAAGATTTTTTTATACCATATATATAAAAGATCGCTTATTTGAGCATAAGTTATGAAGAGCTGCATGCAAGTTTAAGGATGATTTCTTCGAAGCAAGAATTTTCTTAATCACAACAAAACTATTAACATTTTGAAATACTTTATTTATTATTCTAAAAAATAAAAGATATTTATGTGAAATATTTTTTAAAATTTTACTCAAATAATTGCAGAAGTCTTGGTTAAATCCAAATGTGTCTAGATGAATCTCTTGCTCATAGGGTTCGCTACATTAGGTGAACCTTCTGTATGTGATTTTCGAGTACATTCTGGTATACAAATGATTCGAGACAAATGTTACACTGAAAGAGTTTGATATGATTGTGTACTTGATTAATGTGAGATTTGAGATTATACTTGCGGCTAAATGAATTATGACAAATCTCGCATGCAAAGGGTTTGATATGATCATGTACTCCATTTATATGCCTTTTGAGTTTATTCTGGTATCCAAATGATTTGTGGCAAATCTCACATTCAAATGGTTTGCTCCGATTATGTACTGTATTTATGTGAGATTGCAGGTTAGTTTTTTGACTAAATGATTTTTGACAAATATCACATTCAAAGGGTTTGTTGCGATTGTGTACTCCATTTATGTGATATTCGAGGTGATGTTTGAGTCCAAATGATTTGTGGCAAATCTCACATTCAAATGGTTTGCTCCGATTATGCACTGCATCAATATGATTCTTGAGGGTAATATTTCTTCCAAATGATTTGTAACAAATGTAACATTCAAAAGGTTTGCTTCGATTATGTACTGCATTGATGTGAGATTTGAAGTTTTGTTTTTGTCCAAATGATTTATGGCAAATGTCACACTCAAAAGGTTTGCTCCGATTATGTACTGTATTTATGTGAACTTTGAGGTGACCTTTTCGTCTAAATGATTTGTGACAAATCTCACATTCGAAGGGTTTTCTTCGATTATGTATCGTCACTGTGTGTCTATTCATGTTTTGCTTTTGTCCAAATGTTGCAAAATCAATAGTTCTATTTTCATGCATTTCAATGGTTTGATTTTCATTTTCTATATCTACAGTAGATTCGTGCGTTTGGATTTCAGTTTTGCAGATGGTTGTCGATTGAGTTTTCAATTCAAGTTTTACATATTTGCACTCAAAATCAATGATTATATTTTCATTTATGTCATTTTTCTGATTTTCATTTTCTATTTTCACAATAGGTTGACAACTTTGATGCTCAGTTTTAACGAACTTTTCGGGTAAAGACATAACCTCATTAATGTGGTTTATCTGAAACAAAAATTGTGTAATATTTTTTGATAATGGTAAAACAGAACGTAATTTAAATTATATTAAACTCACTGATGGTTCGCGAAACGTTAATATTGCAAAGTTTTTGTCTTCACAAGAGTCCACCGAATTTAAATTATAATCATCATCTTTTTGATCTGGCCAAGTATCTTTTGGCTCTGTTTTCACCCTGGTGAATAGTTAAGTTTGATATAGATATTGCTTTAAAATATAATGACACTCACAAAAAATGTTGTACCTAATCGTGTCCTCTCTGTTTTCCATCGCCCCTTGATTATATGTAAAAAAAATATTTGAGGTTAAACGTCTCAAGTAGTCAACACTGTAACCCGAATTCACCAATTTGTAAACACTTGCTTACTGCAGAAATTTCTCACAGGCAACTGTTCACACTACTTAACTTGTATATTAGCGAGGTGTACCCACACTTGGGATAGTTCCTTGGTGATATTTTCCTCCTCCAGCGTCAAGTGGTCAATAATGTAATGTGATACATGTAGGCACTCGAATACCATTAAAACTATATCAATATTGTACTGAATATTACAATTAAATACAATAATAGATCAAGCTCTTTTCCAATGCATTAGCAGCGATTTTTTAATGAATAATTTGTTTTGTTGTTATTTAAAACATTATTCTCTTGACGATTTTAGATCTATATTTTTCTTAAAATTTTTATTTACTTGTACGAACTAAAATTACTACAAATGTTTAGTTAAGCATCAAGATGCCTTTTTTAAGCTGCTGAAGAGTTTAGGCTATTTATTTTGCTACTGCCTGTACGTACGCGCGCAGCTATCGCTCTTTTAACGAGCTTAACAAGCACCGTAAGAAAATCTATGTCACGCACTATTCGTACGCCTACATTCAGCAAACTGGCAGTTATAAACTTCAATGAAAGCTTTAAACGACGCACTTTTTCTCATTTTTTTTTTCGTCTTCCAGCTTCACGCGTAATAAATCCAGCTCGAGTTTGAGAAAACGCGCGCTTATGTGTATAATTAGGAAAATATTTAATTGGAAAACTTTATGCGTCTGAATTAAAGCCCGTCTAAATTTAACGAAACGATCCGCCGAATATTTGTAGAAAATTATCGCATACAATACAAAAGATTCCAGGCGCAGTTGACAAAATAGACATTTTTCCTTGTTGCCGAACTTTGAGCTCGTTCAAACGGGGGAGATAATCTTTTGAATGGCAATCCATTCGAGATTATAAGCGCGTAATGGATGATCAATGCCATACGCACGACGTCTCTTGCGTTCCATTGAATCGCGAGATTGCGTCACAATTGCATCGACGAGAGTTCGTTCGATCGTATTATATTGTGGAAAATTTACGTAAGCTTTTGAAGATTTTCTCATATTTCTAATGTAATTTTGATTATTTACGTCGACTTTATAATTGAGTTTTATAATCGGCCATTGAACGGTCGGAGCCATGTAATACGCAACGCGCGCGCGCGCAACATTTAACAAGAAAACGTGCGAAAATGATTCGCCTCTAAATTCGAGGCCGACTGCAATATCACTTTCGGCTCCGGCAATAATCGTAATCATCTTATATCCCTCTCAAACTGCGTATAACCTTTTTTCCTTCGTGTTATACCCCCGAATGTCTCTCTTTAAACCTAATCCGACGCCTTGGGTACTTTTTTTCACCCTTGACTCGCCGGCTGCTTTCACCCTTCAACTCAAATCTCCCGTAAAAAGAAGATATTCTTATCGTTCGTATAATAAAACCCCGTAATTGGTAAAACTCCGTGACCGCAGGAGGAGATAAAAGTTGATTGTTCACGTTGCATCTTACGCAATGATAATACAAAGAAATTAACGACAAGCGTTTTTCCTTTCGACAGAGCGACGGTTCCCTGTCGTCGGCCGGCTCGAATCTGTCGGCGGGCGTCGACGGCTCGTCGGGCGAATCGGCCACCGAGGACGACTCCGAGGGCAACGGCGTCGACGGCGGCGAGCCAGCCTGCAGCATCACCCTCATCGAGCGCCTCATACGATCCCATCCGATCTGGTTCCTGCCGGGTATTCAGCGAGCCGGCGCCTTTCACCTGCTCCAAGGCAAAGAGGAAGGGGTAAGTAATCTTCACACGGCACGCACGTATATACTGGCTTACGCGCGCACACACATGTACATACAGTATGTCTATATAACGCGTTATATATACAAGCTATTACCGCGACCGGCACAAGTGCGATGAACTCGCAAAAGCATTACTGCTGCCTCTCGTCGTCGGTATTACGATCGACGCGAGCTCTCGGCTGCTCTTAAACGAGATGTAATGATGATAGAGAGACAAGACGTTCCCCGTATTTCCAGCCTCTCGCCGCCGCCATGCACTGCCACTACTGCCGTTGCTGCTGCTGTTGCTGCTGATAATGAGATAACGCTTATAATGCTACTACTGCTAGAGGATGATCGCCCCCCTTATTTGCGCGAGCTTTCATTCCGGTGGCGGTTGATGATGATGATGATGATGTTTTTGTTGCGCTAAACATTTTCGCCGACCGACCGTTTTCTATTCGCGCGTATCTGTCCAGCGTGTGTGTTCCCTGGCAATCATGAAAAATCGTTTTGCTTCTACCGATATCTAATTACACTCTGAGTTAGTACATACATACACGAGAGTACGTAGTATAAGAGAAAAATGCAAGAACGATATTGCATTTTTTTCTATGAGTAAATCACCATCGTATCGTGAATTAATCCGCCATTAAATGAACATTTACTTCCGTATAATTTGCGCTTCTCTTCATGTTACTTAGTTTTAAACTATATCGGTGCGTACATCCTAGATTAATATAACATGACGATGATAGATTTTTACTTCTTCTTCCATATGGTAGGATTGGTTTTTTTAAAAATTGTATTTTTACGTAATTTTTGGCCGAATAAAATCTTTTTGATATTTTTTTTAGCTCAAGTGATTGAAAGATAAACTAACGAAGATCGTTTATAAAAAATTTCAAGATTAAAACTCAAACGGTTCAAAAGTTATTATCAAATGAAATTCGAAATTCGTGAAGCGATCCCGACTCCAAGCGACATCGCGTGGGAAGTCGCTGCAATACGTGTATAGAAATGCGCGATCATAATTCAAGTGTTTTACATACGCATGTGCGAGACGCGCAATTTACATGTTCGAGCTCGTTTATTTTTTCTCTTTATTTTCTGTTATTTCTACCACACATTACTCATAACACAGATGCGATCTACAGAGGAAATGTACATATTACACGCGCGAAAAGTGTGTCATTGCCTCGACTGCGCTCAACTATAATATAATGCGCGCAGCGTATACACGACGACGGCCCAAGGATGACGATAATGTTTTTTGCACTTGGGTGGATAGAGATAGACGACGATCGCCGCAGCGAACAATAGCTTAGATTGACGAGAAATCGCCTGCGTTGGTGATAATGTATGTGTGCGTCGCGCGCAAATCGCTTGCCGAGCTGCAAGGCTGGTTGCCTATCGTCGCGGGCGCGTTGTTTACTTTCATTCGGTCGTTTGGAGTTTAATGCCTTCTCAATCAAAATATTTTTTATTTCCGAACTCAGTGTATCGTTAAACACATGTTTCAAAGGCTTGAAAAGATTAAGAGATATACCCGTAACAAGACAGTCGCGCGTTAAGATATTCGCGCGGCAAAGCATTCCGATGCATCCCGAAGATAAAGCATCCATCGGATCGAGGCATCTCCGGGTATATCATCAAAAGTTTCCAAATCGGAAAAAAAGCCAAGAACGTATCAAAAATTTTACTCTGCCTCTGTTGCGCGCTAGTATACGTACACGTGCGTGCGTACGACAAAAGATAAAAACAAAGAGACAGAGAGTATCAAACCCTCTTCCGCGTGCATGCAAACGCGCATCGGCAGTAATCAGGGCGCATCGCGGCGGCGCGGCCAATGCCGGCTTATTGTTCCGCGTCGTCGTGCTCATTGTTTTGCCTCTGCTTATATTATATGTACGCTGCGTTTATGTATATGGTATACCGGTGTACTGTCGATAGATTGCGAAAAAAGCACATACATATAGTGCGGAGCGGCAACGGCGATGCGCGCACAATTACACTTTTTTCCACTTGGCCTCGCGCCGCGCGTGTACGAGAGCGAGAGAAAAGTTTTTTTCCGCCGCAGCGTGAAAAGGTATATATGTACGAAGGGAGATTGTTAAGGGCTACTTTTTGAGGGCCACGAAGGGTTTTTTTTTATTCGGCGCACTACGGTCGTGTGTAGACACGCGTAACTGCGTACGTGCAATTTTTCATGATGGAAAAAAGTTTTTTCCACTAATTTTTTCGAGCGAGGACGATGGACGCACGCACACACATTCAACGCAGGAAAGAAATTTGTCGAGTGATATCTGGTTGACGCGCCTTCGTTCGCGATGGGTTTTTTTCTCCCCTACGTATAATTGTTTTAATTGTTCTGCCCCGTCGAATGATTTGTAAAATTTTCTTTACACCCCGTGCGCGGACGCAATTAATTGTAATTATCCGAGCGACAAAAACTCAGCTCAACTGGCAACTTTTAATTTTCATACACTCGATCATGCTTCCGAGATCGGTGCTGAGATACAACGCGGTGTGCAGTGCTAATTACACGTCAACATACAGAGGATTATTGAATTATAAAAATAAATTAATCAATATCATCGACGTTATAAATATCTCTAGTCACACAAGGTCGCGTCCAAGAATACCTGTCAGAGACGAGGCTTGAAGACTATTGACCGGAAAAAAAGACCGCGTAGAATATCGTTGTACTTTGCTCGTGATTTGTAACGACTGCAAATTTATGGGTGCGCGCGATATTATTTCGATTGGTTTATGACGAAACGATCTCTCTCTCTCTCTGTTCATCAAGCTTCTCAATCGCGTATTACAACCCACGATGGCCATGACTCGTCCATCAATAAAAAGAGCGCAGTTCGTTATACGCTAGCCACACATACTCTACGCATTGTAAATTGTATCAATTCAGAGAAACGAGCGAGTACAGCGAGGCGAGCTACGTCGAGAGCTGAGGCGGCAAAAGAGCAAAAACAAAAAGTGCCTTCCATAAACTAATTTTACCCCGAACGAGCTCCGACTTCGTGTAATACCAGCGTTGAACTCGTGTACAATAAAAGCTCTCCACCATTACGCGCACATACATACATGCAATACACTATATGTGCAGTGTACAGTCGCTCGCAGTAAGCCGCTACATACATACATTCTTATAATATACACGTTGCTCGTGTGTCTATACTATTTCCAGAACTTCGTCGTGCGACAATCAAGCCAGAGCGACACTATGGCGCTGTCGGTTAGATTGCCGGCCGGCAAAGGACCTTACATCGAGCATTACCTCATACAGGCCAACAAAGGCAAGCTCAGCCTGGAGACGAGCGAGAATAGGTTCGACAACATACCCTCGCTCATCGCCCATTACTCCCAGTGCTGGTAAGCCATAAAATGCACGGCATTATGTTATATACATTATTATTATTATTATTACTATACACACATATACAAACTCGATGTTGGACTCGAGAGCGACTAACTAACTGACTAACTGACTATTGTGCGCTCCGCAGTGTACATTCGTGTGCAAAAGCCTATCATTGGGAATGCAGAGCGCGCTTTGTAATGAGAGCAGCTATTCAGCGAAAAGCTCGCATCTTTTTCTTCGAGTCGTATATATATACCGGTCTCGCGAGCGAATTAATATCGAATAATTTTTTTCTTCCTTTTTCTTCCTCTTCGTGAATTATGCATAAAAATGAAACTTTTTCGTTTTTCCTTTCTTCCGTGCCCTAACATACATTCCGCGCCTGCCTTTTAAACGTTCCGAGGGGGTAAATACGTTACCTTACATTATGATCTTCGCTCGCATTCTTACGGCCGTGTACGATAATGCGAATTTGCGATCGCGCGCGCGATGCGAAGGTGAACCACTTACGACGCTTCGCGCGCAAAGTATATCTCAAACACAGGCGCAAACGAGAGTGCGAAAGAACGTCTCATTTTTGTTTGCTTGCGTTCGCGCGCGCCTTATATACATTTATATCTCTCGATGGATAAAAAGCATCGTATACATATATCGCGAACGAGAATAAAGAGACCCGTAAAAGATCGACTTTCGCCGAGAAACGCGTGAATTTTTTTCACCGTACAGATGTGTATCGGGGTACATAGGCTCGCATGGAATTCTCAAACAATCGCGTCTTACGTATATCGGTATCATAAACGAGCGCGAATCGATATAATTGCATTTATTAAGAGGCGAGTCGCGCATTAAGGAGAAAGAGAGAAAAAGCGAGAGAAGAGAATAAGCTCGTCGTCGGCGCTCGAAGCCTCATTAACGCGCTGGCGACTATATGTAAGAGAGTCTCTCGATGCAAACGCAAATAACTCACCATCGCGTGCGCAAACTGCAAAGACCGACGACGACAAAGACGACAACGACGTCGCAACGACGAGTATATATAACACGCGATATAATGAAGAAAAGAGAGTGAGTGAGCGAGAGAGAGAGTAATGCATTTTCCTCCGCGTTCAACAGCGACGAGTTGCCGGTGCAACTGACACTGCCCCGAGCGATGCGCGAGGCCAAGAATAGACAGCAGCTATCCTCCCTGGCGCTGCTCGGCCAAGAGTTTTGGAGATACCCCATGGCCAACCCCAAGGGGCCGCCCGACAGCACCGGCAGCAGCAACACCTCGAGCCTCGGCAGCTTTCGAGCCGGCAAGAATAATAACAATAATGGCTCGTCGACCCCTTCGACCGAAAGTATTATACTCAATTTGACGCCGATCTCGTCCAAAGATTCCGGTAAGTTGATTTCGTTGCTTTTAACGTAGATCCAATCGTTTTTCTTAATAGTAGTAATAATGAATATGTTTGATTCTTTTCAGCTACCATGTCCCCTGCGTCGAACCATTCGACCACGTCGACGTTTAATCCTGCACTGCCGCGCCAACCACGGCCGACGCCGCCCAACACCCTCAACTTGACGACGTTCAACGAGCCGATGAATCGTCGCCCGCTGCCGAAACTTTCGCCCAACGACAAGCTGTGCCAGCGGCTCATCTCGCCGAATCTCGTGCAGAGCCTCGTGCAGAGATCGCCGTCGCCGCTCGTGCACAACGTCGACGCCAACGTGCTCAGTCCCGGCTCGGTCGGCAGCGATAGCTTCGGGCACAACAACAACAGCAGCAGCAGCAGCGGCAGCGGCAGCAGCAACAATAGTCATTCCAATGCTTCGAGCGCCACGTCGAATTTCCATCGGAACATAGCGTCGAGCTTTCATAAAATGTCATCGCCCACTATCGCGCAGACGCCCGGGGGTCAAATGAAGAGTCCTCCGCCGCCACCGCCACCGAGATGGGCCAAGCCGACTCAGCAGCAGCAACAGAAGAGCAGCAGCTTCATTGCGACTACAACGATAAATGTCAATCAGAGCGACGATCAGGTAGGATCAATTTTTTATTCATTTTTTACGTCGACTAACGCGCTAAGCAGCTTGGCAAATTATTCACGCGCTCTTTTTGATTTTCAGTCGACGCCGTCGGAATCGAACACGCCGTCGCTCATGTCGCCTCAGAGCGCGTCGAACAAATCGCTGGCCTCGAACAAGTCATCGTCGGCGCACTCGTCGGGACATTCGCCATTGACGCCGAATCTATCCTCGAGCTCGTCGACTAAGCACACTACGTCGAACGGCAGTGGTCGGCAGTCGCACATCCTCTCGCCGAATACACCGTCGCCTGGCGCCACCAAATCGTCCTCGTCGTCGTCGCGCAGACGCAAGGAGCAGCGAGACGCACGCAAGAATTCCCAGCACTATCGCGAATCGGACATTCTGGACTCGTATTATCGCAGCTCTCCGGCGGACAAGGCATCAGATTACGAGGATATCTGGAATTCGACCGATCAATCGAATCCCCCCACGTGGTCGACCAAGGAGGCTATATCGAAGAGCTACAATGAAGAGAACTCGTCTAAGATAAAGAGCGAAACGAAGGATAAGCTTCTTACACCGGTAGAAAAAGTTAGAAATCTCGAGCAAGGCAGCGATAAGCTCATCATTAGAAACGACAAAGTTAATGCCAATGAAAAGATGAGTTACAAAGAAATCACGAGTCCGGAGTTCAGTAGTTTTAAGCCACTTCAAGAGTCAAAGATTAGCCACGAGAGTACCCCAACACCCGACGATAATAATGCCATTGGAAAGAGACCTGACTTGTTGTCTAGAGTTTGTAAGTTTTGAATTAATCAGTTCGTTAGAACAATAACTAAACATTTGTACTTTTATCTTGTAGGCAGCGCGAACTCTCTGAACAGCCCGACTTGTCTCACACCCCCTCGCAATAAATTCGGACTGGCGGTGCTCACCAGATCCGAAAACAACAGCCCAATGGCACCGGAATTGAAGCAGGCTAGTCCGTTCTACGCCGAGCCAGCCGACGCGATTCCCCGGCCTACTCTCGGCCAAGTGACTCGAAGACGGCCGAAACCGCTCAACTCGGTGGCGAGCAAATTTCGACACAGCGAACCCGGCTGGCTGCAGACTCAACTGTCGATGAACTGCAATCTCGGCAACAACGGGCTTCATCCTATCGACTGGGACGACTCCGAAGAGGCCGAAGATAAAACGCCGCTCATATCTTCGTCAGTGGATAATCTGGCTAAAAGACTCAGTGGAAAGGATCAGAAGAAATGTCTGCCTTGCCAAGCCAAGCCTGTGCAGCCACCTCGAATCAAACACAAAATATTCAGCGACACATCGTGGGCAGTCGATTCAAGTTGGGAGTTCATCGGTAGGTTTCGTAAAACTTTTAAAATAATCAGCTTTTAATATATTTTTAATAATTAATTAATAATTCATTAATAATAATAAATAATTAATGATATTACTTTAGGAAACGATGCAGATGGTTGCGAACCAGACTACGACTGTGATCCGGATTACGATTTAGACAATTCGAATAAGAAGTTTGCCGACAACGAGCACGAAGAGCGCGTGTTGCGCAATGCTCTGACAGCGCGTAGCATCATACTTCAAAGGTTAATACGTAATTTCATGATTATTATCAAACTGTCTGTTTTTTGTCATATTTTGTCGATGAAGAGGTGACGTTATCGTACAATATACTATTATATAAAACCCAGTTTAGTTACAAAGAAAGAAAAGCTTTTTTCAAATTTAAGCTCATAACATATTTAATTGGTGATGTCATTAGGTTTATAATAAACAGTTAACTTAATACAGATAACTACTTATCTGTACGTAGGATCGTAAAAAAAGGAAGAGTAATGCAAGCAAATATTTGAGGGAAATTCAAATATTTCGTTTTCAACGATGATCAACAATGCATTCATGAGAAATTACTTTGTCATTTCAGATATCCAGAGCTGCTCAAATCTCCGGACAATGGCACGAGTGTTTCTAGCGATCGAAATTCTTCGTACGATAATGTGGAAAAGCGCCAAATTGCCGGTTCGACCAGCACGATGACAACGACCACAACAACACTTACGAACTCGACTCTAACTATGGACCAGCAGAAGAAAAATAACTCGAATCACGACGAACGCGATAGTTATCAAAGATCCGAGAGCGAAATGATACTGGACCAGGAAGATAGAAATTTCGAGCGCAATAAACGCAACCGCAGTTTTCGAATTGATACTCTAATGGGTAAGTTTCAATTACTTGATATAAGTTTGTTTCGTAGCTTGACTTAAATTCTCATCCTCTTTAAATTTGTCTGACGCCGCAATAATATACACAAGAAATGTTTGAGTAAATTAACAATTATTTGTACTAAAATTAAAACAATTTAAATATTAGTTTACTTCACGCACTAATAGCCTCGACATAAATGCACAATTGATGAAATTTTTCTTTTTTGCGTTCATCAAACACAAATAAACGTATTGATTGAAAATTTCTCCTCGGTTTCTTGGAATTTTCTTGATTCATTTGTTGATTCCATTGATGAACCATTCTTTTCATTACTTCTTTTTCTACTACTAGCTGTAGAGTGATACTTCAATGATCATAAAAATATTATGAATTACTGAATTTCACAGTATTATTAAAATAATGTAAAAAAATCAAATTAGAAAGAAGAGCATTTAATGGAAAAAAAAGAGACAGTTATTGCTGTCTCATTGCAGACGTTAGTACATCGCATGTTCTATGAATAGGTAAAAAAAGTCTTATCTCTATTTTTCAATCAATACTTATCAATCAAAGGTAAAACCAATGATATTCAATTAATTTTGATATTTACGTATGACTGTTATAAACTGAACAAATTATTGAGCTATATAATTTATATAGTACGCTTAATTCTAATTTATTTTACATTCAAATTATCTCTGAACAAAGTCTCGTTTGTGTTTATCAAATAAAAAACGACGAATTAGTATTTGAATTTGTAATTTATTGCATTTTTTTCCGTTGTGTACATTAAAAAAAAGGCCAATCATCGGTAAAAATGCATAAAAAGCAGTAAAAACGAAAAAAATTCCAAGTTAAGCTCAGATTAATCCCCGTGGAGATTTTTTTGACCCTGTATATACAAGTTGAGTAGCGATAACGTACTTCAGACTTCCTTTCTTCTTTTTTTTTCGCGCAGACTTATAACACGCGCCGCTGTATTACAAGTGGTTTCGCGCGCCGAGAAAAATATCGAAATGGGAATATCCGCGATGTATGTGTAGCATGTGCGTGTGCGTTCTAATCCACTTTACAGTACGTGCATAAGCGTATCGTGTATAAGAGCTTATATACACCAAAGCACTCGAAGGTCGGAAAAATATGAAACTAACGCACGAATGGCTTTATCCATTTAGACTCGCGCCTTGTGTTTATTTGAATAAAAATGTAAATCAAACACTTTCAACGATTAAGCTGCTAAAGACATTTCATATTTTCCATTGTTTGCCTAACGTTTCTTTGAAAAATTGTCATTTTCGATTGATTAATTACAGCCATTCGATGGTTAAAATTTTACTACTTATCGACATTTTTCACTTGTTTGTAAGAATTTGAAAAAAAATTCAATTAATTCCGTAAGGTTTGCACCTTTATTTATTAATAATGACGCAAGTAAATAGTAAACAGTAGTATATCCTCATGCGCATTCTTTCCTAGCAGATTTGCAAAAGATTCAACTTACATATTGATATTGATTATTTATAATCAATTAAAATCTAGCATTACAAATTATTATTTTATATTTGTTTTCATAATCACAAGAAACTTCAATTAGCATGTTATATCTCTCATGAATCACTTTTCGTTTAGGATTAATTGACCCTGACCGTTATATGTCCGAATCGTCTTGAGAAATAACATGTAACTAGTTTATCATGCACTCATATTTTTTTACCAATCCCTGGAGTACTAATTCCGGAGTTAGAAATTCGTAATCAAACAATTGACGAAGATAGTAGTAACGTTCAAGCGCTGAAAAAAATGAATTAATGTTTATAGTAACTGCGTAAGTAGAACAATCATCACAGATACTGCAGTTATACAATGAAGTAGATATTAAATGGTAATCATTTATCCGAAACGAACTTATTGTGTATCTGTGACACGTGTAGCTTGAAATCATTAACTTGATTAGTTAAAATCAATTAAATGATACTCATTTCGAACCTTTGGGAAAAATAAATGATTTCAATATTTTATAAAAATATTCAAAAAATTATATTAATATTTTCGTTGCTTAAAAATGATTGTGGAGTTATATGAAGTCGTTTGAATGTTAAATATTGAATTGTATCCACAAAATTTAGTGAAACCTTCCTTTTCAATGCTTGACGCAATACTTTTCAAATAAGAATCATGTTGAGTGCATTTTTCGTGCAAATAATCAAAGATGATGCAAAGTTCGTCACATTTACATATGATAGTTTGAATTCAAGTTTTTCTCAAACTTTTTTTCATATTATAGAATTATTTTTTGACATCGATGAAAATATTCGGTTTTTATGAATTGATCAGATGCTGAAATGCACAAAGAATAAAATTTCATAAAATCAATGAAAAACATTAATTGATTTAATACGAAGATGTTTTCGTATACCTCAATGATTTCAAGCAATTACATTTTTAAATCTCCATTTTATATCAGATGTCATTTCTAATCGTTGAAGGTAATACACCTTTATCTTAAATAAAAAAAACAAAGCTAGATACTTCAAGCTCATGAATTTTCATTGAGGCGGTATAAAAATTTAAGATGAGATTAAGAAAAATTTTGAAGTATCATTTTCACGTGTGTGTGGCCAGCGATACACGTGCGCATCATGCTTAATACACTGAAGCAAAATAAATAAAGTCTGTCAGATACCCCCTGTACAGTCCATAAACAAAGTAGACCCAATGAAAATCAAGATTCACCTACATTATTTTATCCGCTAAAAAGTGCATGTGTCGCAATCAAACGATCTTCAACCAATCGCCAAGCGTATTTCACACCTATGTATACACTTTCCACGCGACATTTTCGATGACTTGCACATGATAATTATACTGCGGTGCTCATCCATTTTTATCTATCCTCTTTTTCTCTCTTGTTTTCTTTCCCCGCGATTATTTTGTTTATTTATTGTTTTACTAACTTCAATACTTCATTCGTCGCATTTTTATAGCTAAGAGATGTTTACGCGATGTCATGTTCATTTAAAATGTTATTTATCAAATTAAAATTGAAATCTTTAATTTGAAACAGCATCGCTTAAATCAACTTTGATTAATTTTTACAATCGTGCGCCGTACAAAAATAAGATTTGCTAAACTCAATATTCTTATCGTCGATGACCACTGCTTTCTACGAAAAAAAAAGGAATGATAATCAACGAGTTTACTCGTATGCTTGCTCCTCCTCGATTTTCTTCTATCTTAAACTATCATGTGTACATTGCACCGATGCGTAAATGAACGGCTCACACGTGAGCGCAAGGAAGCTCGCATATACGAAGCTTTAAGTGACATGAAATTGCACGGCAATCACACGCTGTCTGCAGTATAAATTAAAAGTATCAATCGATGCTATGCTACAATACTTGGCTTTTTATTATCTGCGGCACGGCCTATCGGCGTGCTCCCTTTGTGTCTATCGGATTCTTCGATTCGAGATGAGACTCCCCGATTAGATCTTTACGGCAGATTAACGCTATCGATATACTTTCCGACATTTTGCAATATTTTATTTCGGTTGGACTTCTCATGTATCAATCGTGGTTATTAATTTTGTTCATTTGAATCGTATATTTTTATGATTTTTAAAGTCGTTTTTACCATTTTAATGTAGTAATAATGTAGGTGTAAACCAAATTCTTTCAAAGAAATTATATTTTACGTATTAAAAGAAACTAAATTTACATTGTAAAAGAATTATCTACACATAAATATCAATAATTAACATGATTGTACGTTTAATTAAAGTACACATTGTATGAATACAATGAATTACTATATTGCTAAGGAGGTCTATAATACTTTAATACCTCTCGCTCATCACTACCGATCAACTCGCCAATAAAGTCAATAAAGATTACAATCTCTTAGATCACCAGGTTTTTTCGATCTAGAATCCTCCCTATTTGTAAAAAAGTTCACTTCGATCGCTCCTCCCTCCATACAGCATTTAATATTTGTCTCTCCGCGCATCGAGTGTGCAGTTGTCTTATTAGATATCGAGCGGCAAGTGCTTCAGTCAGTCTTAGCCTGTCGAGCGCGACGCAACATTGCTCAGAGAGACTTGCGATTTGCGCATAAAGATTTTTAATCAGCTTGACAATTTCGCCAATTAATTAATGTAGATTACTCGAGTTGTAGTGTCGTTTGATAAATCTTGATAATTAGTTTGGTGCAGAAAACATTTTTGACAATAAGTGAAAAACTTTTTTCGACTACATCTATTGGATACTCCAATCGGTCAATCGAATACCAGTATAGACTTGATTTCTTAGTTCTAATATCTTCACCCCTTATGAAGAAAGTTGAGTCAAGTTTAGCTCAGTTTTTAACTGCAGCGAAAACATTTAAGCTGGAGAACTTAAGCGGCTGCTTGGTTACTTTTGGCGCCAGGATTGGCCCAATTTCGATGGACAGCCATCACTGCAGACCACAAAGGATTGTTCAAGTTCCAGCGCATTTCGTATCGCCTTAGAAATTTGCGTTTTGGAGATTAACTCCATACACAAATTGATCGTTGAATAAAGAGACGTAACTGTCCGATAACTCATATTCCCTTTTTGCAAGGAGAATATATTAGTAAAAAGAAAAATGAGGATTAATACTCAGCGCGCGTTGAAAGGCGAAATCCTCGCCAGCATCAACGAACGTTATGAAATGCAAATATTCGAGAACAAAAAAGATCTTTTATCTTCAACATCTTTAGTATTTTTCCGGCCACCGTTATCAGAGAAATTGACATTAAAAAAAAAGAACATTTTTCGAAATATTGGAAACTGGTTTCAAAATTTGTACACAAAGCTCAAGAGTAAGTTGATTTGTCAATGTTGTAATGTACTAAATTATTTAGAAAAATCAAAAACTCAAATCTTTTTAAAATTAAAAAATCAAATTTTTAAATTTGACAAAAATCGTATAGATTAATGCCTCAAGTACTAGACGACAATAAAATTATCCAAAACAAACAATCGAACTTACTAGGTGACTCATTAACCCAATTGATACTACTGTAATCGATTCCGGTGTCATAAATTTTCTCTTATCGAATTCGGCATCTTACAATTTTAGTCTATCCTCATGGAATATCACATTTTTATTATTTTAAAAATAACAAATAACACAAATTCTTTTTTCCAAAATTAAATTACTTCCGTAACGATGATTATTACTGATACGAATTTTCTTATTAATAAATTCTTATATTTTGTTGAATAATTATTATCATTTTATTGAATTGAGAGAGTAACTAATGAACGATCATTTTCATGTTACAGGCCCACCGAAATTCCGAGCGATAACCAATCGCGATCATAGCGATGCAGGTGCTGCAGTTCGATCGTACGCATTCCAATTGGCTGCCGATAGCACAACGACTTTTTCTCAAAACATCGAGAACTTCATCAAGTGCACAAGAGAAGGCAAGGAAGAATCCCCGCATGTTGTCATGCGCAACATGCGGCAATTCATGTCCGGCATGAAAAATTATCTCGTAAGTTTGTCTAATGACCATTGCGACTTGACAATTTTTTAAATTAAAATCGAACGATTGTTTTTTTCTTTGGCGCTCAGGTCAAGCATGGAGAGCGCGAGTTCGAGAAAGAAGTAGAGAAGGAACGCTTGAAACTGAAGGCCAACGAATTTCTAAATCTTGATGCCATTCTCGAGGATGTGATGATCCGTCTCGTTGTGAGACCACTACGCGAGCATGTTTATGATCTTTTCGTTAAACATTATGCCGAAAATGGCTCATTGAAAACACTTGCCGAAAATCTGCGCCAGGCGCAAAACCAAAGTCTTCATGATCTCGGCGCTAGTGTATGTATTTTAACTCAACATTAAACTATCATAGTAAAGTAATAATTCTTTCGCAATCCGATTCTAACAAATTAACGTATTCAATTTACAGCCTAAAATTTTGCCACCATCAGCTGAAAGTTTGGATAACATTTTGAAATACTTCGAGAAACTTCAATACGTAGATTCGCCGCTTGAGAAACTTGACTATTTATTAGACGCTATTTATGCCATTCACAATGCGGTAAGTTTGATTCAACGCAATATCTGTAAAATTTAAAAGCAATAAAATAAACAATAAAAAATTTTCCTCAGGTTAAACATGCAAATGCAGGAAGGTCAGTTACTCTTGCAGCGGACGATCTATTGCCGATTGTTGTTTGGGTCTTAATTCAAGGTAAAATTTTTGATGCGGAAATAGAAGCTGAATTCATGTGGGGTTTGATACACCAATCACTTCTCACGGGTGAAGGTGGCTATTACCTAACAACATTCTCTAGTGCCGTACAATTCCTAAAAACTTTTAAACCTAGTCAAGGGACAACATCTTCGTTCAGTGTAAGTATAATATTCCTTTTTTTTTCAAATAAAATAATGAATAAATACGCAAAAATCACTAAGTATATTTTTTATCTTCACAGCCTGGATGTGGAGTTCCCGATTGTTCTTGCGTACTTAAGGTACTTGTACCGGATGAATTGCATGGTTCGCTCATAACCAGAACATTGCCTGCTAGACCAAATATGAATACTCGTGATGTTTGTCGCATCTTAGCCCATCAAATGCGATGCACTAATCCTCAAGATTATGGTCTCTTCAAGTTGTCATTCGGAGAAGGTATGTATTTTTATATTTAATTTTCATTTTGAAGTTTAAATGAAGCAAATCATTATTAATCGAGGTATTCTCTACTCTTAGATACTCTGCTTTGGGATCATCAACGTCCTCAAGATTTAACCGACTGTATGCTAGTTTATAAACGGATCGATGCTAAAATTGCCTGGCCAAGAGCTACAGATGTTAACCAATGCAAAATTACAGATTCCTGATCGAATATTTCACAGCTAAGAGCTGCAAGAATAATGTCAATAGGTCTTTGTTCATTCAATTGAAGAAAAATAATGCATGCAATAATGGTGACGGGAGAAAAAAATTACCACGTTGATATTATTTGTAATACTTTATGTTATAAGCGAATAATTAAAGTTTATTTTATTGTTAATTTTCTTTGGTATTTTTTGTTTCTCAATATTATGCAAAACTATAAAGATTTTAGTAGAATTGTCCCACACCTAAAATTGATTTGGAAAATACAAAATAATCAAAAGGTATACTGATTGACTCAGCACTGAATATTAAATTGAATATAAACTTCACACTGTTTCAAAAAACTGCAATATGTATTATAAAACACATGGAATTTAATTATCAGTGATTCGAGTGCAATAAAATTATAACTGATGTGTATTATACAAAATATTAACAATGTGTGTAACATGTAAAGTAAATGAGTGAATGAAAATTTGTTAAAAAAACTCATCATATTATCTCATATTAATACTATTTTTTAAATTGGACTGCCAAGTATGATTATAATCTATATTTACTATAAATGAAGATGTATACTTTTGATATATGTGCGTAATTTTTACGGTGTATAATAAGCAGAAACCAAAAAAATATTCAAAATGTATTTACAATGAGTATTTAAAAGCAAAAAGTACACAAATAATATACATTTTTACAATTTTCTTATCATAAAAGTATTTAAACCTTTTTATTTCACATTTACTGATCGTTGTTGCCAATTGAAAAAGTTTTTCAAGTTATTGTAGCTTGTTTCAGTTGATTGAATATAATTGTTGCAGGTAGCATTGCTCTTGAATATTTTTTTTGAGAAAAATTTTAGAAAAATAAGTTGCCCTTCATTAATTTCTATGTTTCTGGATTTTTTAATCTTATTAAACAACAAGCTATTTATGATAAAATTCACTGTTAGTTATAAACTGTAAACTGCTTTATTTTTGGTATAAAAAATTAATTGAATTCCTTTAAGTGATCTAGTCAAATACAACTTATTAAAAATTTTTCAATAACTTTAATATAAATGTTCTCATTTGTAAAAACTTAATATTAATGGACTTAACTAGCGTGATTTGATAATTATTTAAAAAGTTAAGCAGCATATCTCATGTATAAATAATACAAATAAAATGAATCTAATAAAATTTTTCATATTAATTTGTCAATTCTTATTATTGTGACGGCTATGGCATGTATAGCTCGTTGCGACTCTCCAATCGTTGAGGCGGATGATAGTATATGAGAACTACATCGAGCATAATTATCATTTAGTCTCTAATTGTAACGATTGTTCGATATGCGACTGATGGCAGCACATGCGGATATGTTTTAAAACAATTATCCCCTGCTGACCTGCGAACGCAGTTCGTGATTTCAGATCTGTTTTGGTTATCGTGAGATTAGCATTGCGCTGCGATACTGGCAAGACTCGTGGTTTAACAAGGTCCATTATTACATCCTTGTGATTGGCATTGTTGAAACCCTTTTCTTTCGCGCAGTTGCTCTCCTTCCCGTCCATACTATTGCTCCTTGCTCTATACTGCTGTTATACGCAACTCGTGGCGGGGACAATTTAATTGTATCGATTGTGTTTATTATTATTCAAGATAATCCTTAATTCAACTTAACTTTCAATTTTGTTTTGTAATTTACTTGAATGCGTTGTCTCCTCACTCGCTGAGTTCACGCAGTAATCATAACAAAATACGGTACAATAGGGAATTTCAGTACTCTCTATATTGATTTTAGGTTTTATTATTATTATTATTATTCTGTGATGGTCATTATTTATGTTCACATTAATAATTGTTGAAAATTTTATTTTATTATAAAGAATTCCTCATTCCATAAAAGTTCTATTTATACTTACTGGAACGTAGTAATCCACAAAATAATTTTTTTCAATTTGTAGCAGTTATTATATCATTTGGCTTGTTATTTTTTAAACAGGGGTCTGATATTGAATATAAATTTCATTGCAAACAATCAATATTTTGGAAAATAAATAAGTATAAGAGATAAGGAGTACGAATAAAAAATTTATTTATACATTAATTTAATATTCAAAGAATTTATTGAGTTAATTGACGTAATACATTTTCAAATTACAATTTTGAAGAAAATTAAAATGATTATTAATTTTATTATTACAAATTATATCTTAGAAAAAATATATGATATTGTACTTTCTAGAAAAATAGACGATACCGATTTACAATACATATCAAAAGTTTCCTTACATACTTAATTTTCTTCGCAACATTTCAATTTCGGTGTTTCGGGAAGGAGAACTTAAGGCTTAAAATATTTAACAATTATCATAGGAAAGTAATAGACGATGCTATATGGATATCGATTTACAAAAAAGGTATTTAAAATTTGTGGCAATTAAAAATGGAAAGTTACGACGAGAATCAGAAGAATATCATAGAAATTGCATTCAACTCGGCAGAAGAGGTGATAGAAACTCAGCATATATTCGAGGAAGAGGCTCAATGCTCAAATTTTTTGTTACCAAATCACATAGACAAAATGGAGGAAGAGCCGATCGACTCGATGAGCCTGCCAGAAAGAAGAGAGCTAGTGTTGAAGCATTCACTGATCAAGTTTTTGAGGAAGGTTTGGATTTACAATCTAATAATATTACAACATATGAAAATAAAAGAAAAAGCAGAAGTAGATCTAGTAATGCACTGGATTCCACAACTGAACCAATATCACGAAATAATAAAAAACTTTCTGATATGGAAGAAGGAAGAAAAGCAGCAGGGCTCCTGTTCACTGGATCTGTTCGTGAAATGGGCTTGCGAAATAGGATACTGCATGATGTTTGGGAAAAACCAAGAAACTTTAACCCAAGAATTTTTTCAGAAATTGTACGATGTCATAACATCGGTAAAAGAGGTGTTGTTATCATCGCCTCACATGGCGAGCACATCCACATCGTCCACGACTGTGCGTACACCAACTCTCAATGCAGATGTGCCTTTATACAACGGATTGGAGAAATCAAAGCCGAAAATAAAGAACGATGTTTTGATCAAGAAAAACAAGAGGAAGATACATTTCGAGGAAGATCTAGTGAGCGAAGACAGCTACAACAGTCAACATTCGGCTTATTCGATGACACAGCAACGACGGCGCCAGAAGACCGTGGAGAGCGATTCGGAAGAGGAGATGGACTCCTACGAGAAGATGTTATTAGCCAAACGTGCATTAGACGTTTCAAACGACGAAGATATGCAACTGGTTTGTATGAACGACTCCACTGGCTCAATACAATCATTTATCTCGGTATCCTCGGTATACGAAGCCTACTTGGACAGAAGTGAATTAATACAAAAAGAGCATTGGTATCTCAGGTTAACCAAATTTAAAAATAATCGTTATAAAACTTGGAAATTCTACACGCAAAGTGTAAATTTAAAATTCTGTTCATCGAAGAAAAATTTGATTTTTATATGGTCATATTTAACGAAGAAAAAATATGGCAAAAAATCAATAAGAAACCTCCTCTGACAGAGGTTAATTAATAAAAAAAAGTACTGGTATCTCAGGTTAACCAAATTTAAAAATAATCGTTATGAAACTTGGAAATTCTACACGCAAAGTGTAAATTTAAAACTCTGTTCATCAAAGAAAAATTTGATTTTTATATAGTCATATTTAACGAAGAAAAAATATGGCAAAAAATCAATAAGAAACCTCGTCTGACAGAGGTGAATTAATAAAAAAAAAGTACTGGTATCTCAGGTTAACCAAATTTAAAAATAATCGTTATGAAACTTGGAAATTCTACACGCAAAGTGTAAATTTAAAACTCTGTTCATCGAAGAAAAATTTGATTTTTATATGGTCATATTTAACGAAGAAAAAATATGGCAAAAAATCAATAAGAAACCTCCTCTGACAGAGGTGAATTAATAAAAAAAAGTACTGGTATCTCAGGTTAACCAAATTTAAAAATAATCGTTATGAAACTTTGAAATTCTACACGCAAAGTGTAAATTTAAAACTCTGTTCATCAAAGAAAAATTTGATTTTTATCAGGCCATATTTAACGAAGAAAAAATATGGCAAAAAATCAATAAGAAACCTCCTCTGACAGAGGTGAATTAATAAAAAAAAGTACTGGTATCTCAGGTTAACCAAATTTAAAAATAATCGTTATGAAACTTTGAAATTCTACACGCAAAGTGTAAATTTAAAACTCTGTTCATCAAAGAAAAATTTGATTTTTATCAGGCCATATTTAACGAAGAAAAAATATGGCAAAAAATCAATAAGAAACCTCCTCTGACAGAGGTGAATTAATGAAAAAAAAATTGTTTGTTTCAAAATAATAATAGTGAAAAACTGTACATCCAAGACATACAGTATGTTTCACGAATGTCGCACACATTTATTTTTGCAAATTAAAAATAGTTAACGACATTATCGTCTATATAAAATTTATATCAAAATAAAGGAAAACTTTTACGCTTTTCAACGGAGCATCAAGATTTGTGATACGGGATAACAATTAATGAATGATTTTAATTTAATCGTAAACAAATTTAAAGTTCTAGCGAATAAGCGACTTTCTGAGCGTTGATTTTCTATGTTCGACCTATGCAGAAGCCGTTCGTCTTTCTGAGACGATAAAGCTGGAATTTGAATTTTATCGCGAGTGAATCCAGAGATTCAATGAATAAACGGCTCTATGAACTATGGTATTTTCTATTTTCGATCTATGCAGAAGCTGCTTTTCGAATTTTTCAGACGTTATAACTCGAATTAAAATAGATGGCAATGAAAGAATCAAGTTTTTGGCATGGTTGATAAAAACCTCTCAATTAATTTTCAGAAAATGTTACCACCGGGCCTGCAAACTATTACGGAGGTTTGGGATGCCAATCTGGAATCGGCGATCGAAGACATGAGAAACGCTTTGGAAATCACTTTGTTTATTGCTTTTGATGTTGAGTTCCCAGGAGCCCTCTTAAAGAAAAGGCAATATTTATTCAATCATCTCAAAGAAGCTGAATGGGACTACATAAATAATACTTTAAAACACACGCAGCCAATACCATTCGGCTTTGCTTTTTATGGATTGAATAATAAAGGCCAGGCTCAACACATCAACACATGGCAGGTCAATTTTAGATTCGACGAAAAAAAGACGTCTCAAGTCCAGAGAGCATCAAATTTTTGAAGGAGCATGGATTTGATTCTAATAAGTTTCTGGAACACGGAGTACAAATTAGCGATTTCCAACAATTATTTATAAATGCTGGCATTCTAGGATCGTCAAAAATAACTTGGCTATTTTTTTACGGCAATTTCGGCATTTCCTATTTGCTCAAGGTATGCACGAATCAATGATTCAACGATGTAGATTCGTATTTAGATATGATTTCGGAGTGCTTTCCGTTTAGTATTGACGTCAAGGTACTAATAGAGAGATATGTCATAGTTGAATCAAGAGGTTTACAAAAGTTGACCAACGAGTTGAACGTACAAATTTGTGAAATGAAAAATGCAGCACATCATGCCGGATTCGATGCTCAAGTAACATCATACTACGAGAATATTTGTCACTGGGCATACTTGCCTCCCGAAGTTTATGGTCAATTTTTGTATTTAAACATTGATTAGAAATTCAATGTAATTAATACATTCAATGTACATAATGTAATTCATAAAGTGTAAATTACAATCAAGCCAGTATTATAATTAAGTGAATGTTTTTTATATTGAAAATATAATCATGTGCAAAAATGTGTTTGAATGTTTTTGTATTTCACACCTCCCACGACGGTAACGGTTTTCCAAACTTATTTGGACTTAGATGGACTCGATTAGAAAAATGTTGAGAATTTCAAGCAAATTACTTGCGAATGCTGTCTTTTTAACTCTAAAGTCTACAGCCGAATGCTCGATCACTTAAAATTTTAATTCGAATTATAACGTCTGAAAAATTCGAAAGACAGCTTCTGCATAGGTCGAAAATAGAAAATACCAACGCTCAGAAAGTCGCTTATTCGCTAGAACTTTAAATTTGTTTACGATTAAATTAAAATCGGGCTTCAATTTCTAAGAGAGACGTATGACAGCTCTGCATAGGTTTATCATACGACGTGCCGACTTTTTGAAAGTCAATTTATCGTGAATCTATAGAAAAACGACAGATAGCTTTTGTAGCAATCGCAATTACTACTTTACGACTTTTCAACAATATCACATCAAGTAGTGCATTGTTGGCCGCCGTTGCTAAGGCCGTCTTGAACAACACGCTGTATCGAAAAATATTATTTTTTACGTCGGAGAAAAAAAATTATTTCGGAAAATCTTTGAGATCTTTTGTGCATGTCAGATCCGCAGATGCTGTCCAAAAAAATTACCTTTCCGTGGAATTTTTTTTTGACCTGTATTCGAACATTTTGTTATCCCGTATCACAAATCTTGATGCTCCATTGAAAAGCATAAACGTTTTCCTTTATTTTGATATACATTTTATATTTTATATAGACGATAATGTCGTTTACTATTTTTAATTTACAAAAATAAATGTGTGTGGCATTCGTGAAACATACTGTAATTGCTTCTCTGAATGAGAGCCGTAATATCGTTGAATCGTTAAAAGAATGAAGATATAGAAGAGATGCAAGGGATAAATGCCTCAATGCATTATCGAGGGAAAAAGGGTAACTACCCTCCTATGCACGAAGAAGACGGAGGTATTGGCAACATTAATATTTTAAAAAGTGGATTTAAATAATAGTGGAAGGCTGTACATCTGAGACATAACTGATCCTCCAAACGAAAGCCATAATGTCTTAGAAAACATCGAATCGTGGATTAGTTAAGAGAATAAAGATATTGGAGAGATGCAAGGGAAATACCTAAATGCATAATGGAGAGGAAAAAAGCAGCTACCCTCCCATGCACGAAGAGGATGGAGGTATCAGCAGCATTCATCTTGTGTGCTTGTGAAGTGAATTAGTGAAAATCTGGAAATATTATACAACGTATTAGATCTATTGCGATAACACAGAATGTAATTAAAAAAAAAATATTTCATATTTACCTCATTAAATATTTCTAATTTCTTCAACGTGTAAGACTACGTAGGCCATAAATGTATCTTTTGAACAGACATGTTGATACTACATAGAAAATAATTTTTTATTTGCTTATTTAATTAATTTAATTTGTACAAGAGTAAGGCTCAGAATTTTTAAAATAATCATGCGCCGGGGAACTTTGATGTGGACGTGCTTTTGGTATGTTGTACACTAGGTGAGTGGTAATTCTGTCCGATAAAAGCCCGGAATTTCTTATGCTTATACACATTCCACCACTCTGTTGGACTGGACAAATTACCCTTCACCTAATGTAGTACATAGAAAAAGAAGGCCGAAACTGAGATTCTAGACTCCTAGATTACTCGCACCCTTCACACTGCATCAAAGCTCTTTTCTATTTTTACCGATTCTGAACTCACTTTCGACTTTAAAAAATCTGAAAAAATCCATGAAGGTATACTTTAATAATGCTAATAACCTTGTCTATTTCTGATTTTTTGATATTTTAGGGCTTTACAAAAAATCATTACAAATTATAAATAGTTTATTACGTGCCTAACAAGTGAAAAACTAGCACATATTTATCAGCCTCTCAGGCTCTTTTTTTTCGCTTCAAAGATGTGCATACTATTTTTCATCAATCCTCCAGCAGAAAATATTATACACACCTGACGTATTCCACGCTTGACCAGACAGTGCGCTCGCGCGGGGCATTTTTAACGTATCGCAACTTTTCTAACTCACCGTGGCCGGCGCAATTGGGTCTAAAAAAATATTGCGCTCATGCATTCCGATAGATTTTTGTCCGTTCTTTCCAATAGTGGTATTAATTTTTCAAAAAAAGTTCATTTTCATGGAGACAACTGACTTTAAAGTTAACTCAATTTTTCGGCAAGTATACCCTCTAATTCAGACGACTTATGATGTGTTCTGAAAACGTGAAGTTTTCTCAAATATAGGTTTTGCTATTCTTTTTTCATGTACTATAACCTACCAGAAGCACGTGTAAATTCTAGGATTTCCGGCGCACTATTATTTAAAAATTTTTTAGCCTTATAACCAAAATTTTTTTAATAGAAAACATGTTTACCTTGGCTACCGGCGATGTCTACTTATGTGTCCCTTAGTCATATCCGATTGTCACGCAAATTGACTACACCTCGGAGTGATTTTGAGTATCAGAAAACATTTTGAACCTTGAACCTCTGAGCACGAGGCGATACTGAACTGTATACAAAATGTGTGAATGCGTGGCCACCTTTTCTCTCCCCTCGATGTGATGCGTACAAAGTTACGTCTTCTTCTTCTTTCATTAGTGGCGCCGATTATAAGCAAGCTCTATGTACATACGTCATACGGCCATTAACAGGCTTTAAAAAGAGGCGCGAAATTGAGGATTTCAATGGTAGATGGTTCAGGATTATAAAGAAATTCAGTGATTAAAAAGGGTGGAAATTCACCTGGTTTGCTTGATTTGAATAAAAGAATTAATCTATTTTCGTTGTGTTTTGGGCAGGCCCAGAACAAATGGTTGAGATACGATTCTGTGTATGAAATACTTACATAGATTTACTGGATGTAGTGGATTCTCTATTTTCAAACTTGGCTACTGAGCTGTGCAAAACAGCGTCCTCTTACATATGTACAACAAACTAAGCAGTATTTACATTTTAGATTTATATTTTGATACGATTTCAAAGACCTGAAAAAAACATTGGTTATTACAATGTAAAATTATTTTATATCGATAAAAAACTTGGATTTAATTGTTGAATATTATGCATTGAAATGATATTAAATATTTTACACATGATTAGAAAGTTCAATTTTTGTATAGTATTATGCAAAAAATACTTTTTAAATTGTTCTTGTTTAAATGCCGAAATCAGATCTCAAACTTCGTACGATTAATGTTTAATTAAAAATCACGGGTTTCTCTAAAATAAAAAAGAACATACGTATATTTTGAGAAAGATATCCATTAGAAATTTCACTTAACACGCTCAAAAACTTTCATTTTTTCCGTGACTTTGATAGGTATTGAAATCTTTCACACTAAGCGTAGAATTTTTTTCATCTGTTAATTAAAAATCGTACATTTTTTTCGCATTCGTAGTTTTTCAAATACAGCTCGTCCATCTCTTTCGCGAAGCCGCATTGCAAAATTGAGAACTGTAGCGAGACACGTATACATTATTCAGCGTAATGTAGCTACTTCATTATCAAATACGCGATACTCATCGGAGCATAGCTCCGAAAGCGTTGATGAGCTATTCTCTCTGTGTCCGCTCGCAATGTCGCCGTTCCGTATACAGCGGCGACAACAAAAGCCCGCGCATTCTCCGCTTGTACACAATATTTAATGTGTGTAGTCCGTCCGTACACGCACACACATGGGCGTGCGCGAATGTGTGCGTACACGCATAGGCGCTCTCTTTCTCTCTGTCTTTCATGTCCCGAAAGAGACGCTCTCCCATGGGGCGGCAATATTATACACAGACAGACGGAGCGCGAGGGAGAGGGAGAATCGTCGACGCAGCTTCTCTTTTCATTTTCTCTCTTTCTCTTTCTATCTCGCAGGCTTTGGTGCGCGCGGCGGTGCGTGTGTATGGTGCCGCTGCGCCGCGGCTCAATGGAATTCGAGAGCCGCCGAAGCACACGATGTCCACCGCCGCCTCGACCAAGCTATAAGCCTTTGCCTCGCCGATGGCTTTACACGCGTGTTCGCTTCCATGCAACCATTTCTCCAGTTAGTCCTGGTTTATCGAGCCGCAAACATCTGTAATAATAATACCAAAGACGCGTACGAGGCACTCTCGATTTGATTCAAAAGGAACGACGTCCGACGCCCAATCGCACGGCCCAATTGCGGTCCATCGGCTTTGATTTTTTTCGCATTATATTATTGACAAAATGATCATGGGGCCGACAAAAATTTCATACGTTGTAGCTTCTATTCTCGTTGGCATTATTGTTCTCGTAACGTTGGGTAAGTTTTTGTCATCTATTTACACGTATTACACGTATTTGTTTTCACATCCTTTTCGGAGTTTGATTTAATTCGTCATAGCCATTGCCGAAAGGGGAAAACCTAATGTTGTGTATACTCCTATACAAATATAACTCACTTCTTTTATCAAATATTCATTACTATTTTAAAGCTCAATTATAATGTTTTCTTGAATTAATTTTGATCTTTGTTGCCGATAATTTTTAATTTAATAATTAAAATACTCCAAATTGGTTCATAACAGTTGATAAAGTATGAATTGGCAGCCGACTTTGTAAGATACCGAAAGGCCGCTTTAAATAACGGCATTTTGATTATGTGAACCTGCGCTTTGTGTATACACATACTACGTCTGGGCGAAACCCGAAATAAATTAGAATCAATTTTCCCCATTTAATTTTCCCAAAATAATTTTTCACAATTTGCAATATTTGATTCATTAGATTCTTTAACTTATTTTGTAACACCCTTTTCTCAAACTGAAAAAAAAACATTTAAAAATTGTCCGTTTTCGTAACAGTATCGGGTCAGGAGCCAACAATCACAGTCTCAGAGGACCAAATCAAAGAAATTGGCGAAGAAGCTGTATTCAATTGTACGGTTGAAAATCTCTCGCCAGAATGGAGCATAGTTTGGATGATGTTTGGAAAAGACAACCGAGGCGATTCGACGCCGGTGGTCCTCAATGACAGACTCGTACTCACCGATAATCGGATGACGTTGGTTTCCTCCAACCAGTCGTCGACTTACACGGCATCGATAAAGGTACGTATCGTAATTTGCATACGTCTATTAAAACGTCATAATGTAAGAGAGATATTGGTCAGAAAAATGCGTGGTCTTCTTTGAAACGGCTCAACGATCTTATTTACGACGCTCGGAATGACAATTTTATTCAATTAATTCACGACTTGCGCCACACATCCTCAATTACTTACGTGCCACAAGTTATATGTATTCAAAAAAATTGTTTGTTCTACTATTGCCAGATCAAAGACCTTCAGGAATCCGACACGGGATTTTACTCATGCCGAGCATTGAAAAAAGCTCATGAAAAGGTATCTGCTGACATCGAGCTTCAAATAAGACGTCCAGCCACGATAAAAAGCACGGCCGTCTTTGCCAATGTGACCGAAGGTTCATTAGTGGAGTTGAAATGTGAAGCCGATGGCTATCCAGTGCCACAGATCACCTGGAAACGTCACGATGATTTACTTTTCCCCTCCGGCGGCGCTATTTACCGGTAATTTTCTATTTCCTGCTATTTTAACATTTTATGTGTGCAATCATGAATCGAATTTCAAAAAAGTTTGATTGAATTTTACTTCACAATTAAAACCTTTCACGAATTCAGCGGCAACGTTATGAGAATCGACAATGTGCACCGAGACGACAGAGGTGTCTATTACTGCACCGCCACGAACGGAGTTGGTCCCGTAGCCACTTACAACATCACATTGGTCGTGAGTTTCGCACCGAACGTCATGGCCGTGCGCCCCCGAGTCGGACAAACGATCGGTGAGGACATCGATCTCGAGTGCCAAATCGAGGCTCATCCCGCTCCGAACGTCACCTGGTTCAAGGACAACGTAGAGCTCAAGAAAGAGAAGTCCCACTCGCGAAAGGACGTTTTCGTCGACTCGCTGAAGCGTTACTCAGTTACCCAGTCCGACTTCGGAATATACGTCTGCAGAGCAGAGAACTCGTTGGGAAAGAGCGAGACGAAGATCGAGCTTTTCGGTGCGTAGAAAACTTCTTTCATCCCGATCGATTTTGACAAAAATACGAAACAAATAAATAATTGACGATTTTTTTTTTGATTATTCTGCAGAAGCCGGCGTACCAAAGTGTTACGAGAGCAGCTGTCGTTAGAACAACATTTTATAACACTGTAAATACATAATTACAAATTATATTAATACAACGATACTTAGAAACTTTGCGACAATGTAACAATATGTGTTTTATACTTTTTTAATTTTATATATACTATTTTATTATGCATTTACGAGAACTTTTTGCAACGCGGGAGTTTTTTAAAAAAAAGCAGTGTGCTTGCAAGAAAGTATTGATGTATCGTGATCAAATATGTATCACATATTCGTTAGAAATAATACTTTTGTACATTTGATAATAAAAAATCCAATTTCTTAATTTCTACTTTTCATTTTTCAATTGTAACATAACTTACATGTACCATTGCTCATTACTTTTTTCAAATGATGAACTTGAGGGTTTAATTTTGATTCGAAAAATTATATGATTTAACTTTATAGATAAACTAAGATATAGTTAATATTAACGTTGCTGTTTAAATAGAAGCCTGAATCACAATTGAGGGTTGAATAATATTAAGATATTTTTGCTTTACTATATTTGTAATACTTTTAAATGATGCATGACTTGCAGTTCGTTTATAAAGATATCGCACGTGAGAGCATTTTTTTATCGAAACTTTTTTTTCTCACACATGTTGTTTACAATATTCTATCTACAGGCAGAATGAGAGCATGGAGATATACTATGACAGAATGAAAAGATTCCCAACAGAAAATCTGCATAATTCATGGCTGTTAACTGTACAATTATACGACTTCCGACGTTTGCGAAATATTCAACTCGGAGAAGACATTGTAGCGTAATAACTCATATTAGACCGAGGCGTCTGTAATTTGAATTTTCTCAATTAGAATTTGGCTAATAGTCAAAGACTTCTTCCTTATAAGGATCTAAAAATTAAGAACTACGTGTAGTTCGATCATGACAATCCATTATAACAGTTCTTAGATTTTACTACTCAATTCTTTGTTACTCTTTATTCTAAAAAAAACATTGTTGCAATATGAAAATAAAATTAGCTACCTGCATAATAATATTAATTAATTTAAGTGCCATTGACTCTGTAAGTATCATACTTATTAAAAAAATAATATCATTTCAGATGAGTATTACAGGCTTTAGAAAAAATGTATTGTTATAATTTCAGAAAATGACCATTGAACAGTTAAAGAATACCATGAAACCATTTAAAAATACATGTTTAAAAAAAGTTGCAGATGTAGATCCAGGTTTAGTTGCAAGAACGGTTTAAGAATAATAATTTATCAATTGCTACTCATATCAATTATTTTTTTTAGTTATGGTTGAAGGAACAAAACAAGGTAACTTTCCTGATGATCCCACATTGAAGTGCTTTTTCAAATGCACTTTACAAATGTTGAAAGTTGTAAGGGCCATAATCAAGTTTTAATATTTTTCATATAAGTTTGCAAATTAATAAATATAATACCTTTGGATAGTTGAAAAATGGAGAATTGTCAGTTCCAGCAATGATGAATCAAATAGATATTATGATGTCAGAGGAACTGGTTGATAAAACTAAAGCTATAGTAGTTGATTGCGATGGCAAATGTAATTTTTTATCATCTCAAAACCAATAGTAAACAACAAAAATTATTATCAAATCTAATTGATTACCATTTTACAGCAAAAAATTTGGGAGATATATGTGAAAGAAGTTTTGCATTTGTAAAGTGTTTCTATGAAGCAGATAGTGAAGTACGTTCATCAAAATGATTATTTGCTAAGTATTTTAATAATTTTACAATTTTGCAATGAAAATGAATTTTTTTCAGCTATACTTCTTTCCATAAAAAATTACCACATCTAAAACAAATTACAAAGCCCAACTCATGAATCTCCGAGTAGTTTATGATTCTGATGATGTTAATTTATAAAGAGAATAGAGTTTATTATTTTTTAGATAAGATTTAATTAAATACAAATGAAATATGTTTGTGACAACATAAACTGTATTATATTGTTTATTTTTATTAATTAATAAAAGCATTAAATATTTACAATCATATTTAACAATTTTTTTTTCTTGAAAAAATATTTACATAAAATTTTGTTGTGTAAAAAAACTACTACCTTTTTCTCACACATAGCCAATTTTCCGGAACAGTGTAACTACGAGGTAATATAAGAGATTCAAGCTCTGTAAATGGGATATGGATTCCATTCATATCTTCTTGTGTATTCAATTCAAACTCGGGAGGTGGATGAAGTATGATATTTTTAGTTTCAGTATCTGTATTAAAAAGATATTGCCTAGACATCTGCCATCGTTTGAAAAGCCTTTTCAATTTTGAGTCTCGAAGAAGATGTAAATGTTGTCTCATCAAATCACGTGAGACAAAATAAGTATTGGAACCACTTAAGAGGGTTAAATGTAACAAAAATGGATCATCTGCTGACCTAAAAAGTAATAAATTATATTTTTTATAATCTGAATGTTTAATAATTTAGATATTTCAAATTTTATCATATCACTCCAGTACTAAAATTATCATATAGACATGAGTAATGTTATTTGTCTTACAAGTTTTTAGTGAGAAACACATCAGCTACACTTCGTAATGATTCCATTTCTTCCTTTGACCACCAGTTCATATGAGCTCTACCAACAACTAAAACTTTTTTAGGAGAATATTTCTGAAAATATCTCACTACCTCTATAATCTAAAAATAATTCAAATGGTTACAATATAAAAATTAATTAATAAAATATTGATAATCAAATAACTTACATTTTTAATAGAACCTTTATTTTGAAATTTGCGTTTTGCAAAAGCAACATTTAGCCCATCAATGACAATATCGTATGATTTCATGGACTTGATAAACAGCATATATCTTTTTAATTCTTGTGGTGATGTTGTACAAAATACATTTTTACCTACAATCAATTTTTTCATTACTGAATCTGAAAGTATTTTAAAATCGTCTTGAGAAAGAGTAGTTTGAGTTAGTTGTGTTTTACACGCTGAACAAATTCCACTGAAAATAAAAATCATAAGTTTAATGTTTTATGATTAATTAGGGGTAAGTTTTCTTGGTCTACTTACCCTTTTGAGACTGAAGTTTTAGATGTAACATAATTCAATGATTCAAAGAAAGTTTTATAATTATCAACAACTACTTGATTCAGGACTAAATTTTGATCTCTCCAAAAATGGAGCATTTTCTGAACGTTATTGATCAATTTTTCACCCTTGAAATTTCTTTGACAATAATCCAAATAACTGATGTGTACAGATGAAGTTAACGGTATTGTTTTGCCACTGACTAATTTCCAAGCTTTTTGTGGATCATTATTTTTAAAAGCTGCTGTCATAATAGCAGAATGCACTAATGGACCTGGCTCTTGAAATTCACATATCATATCTAATAATTCAAATGATAGCTCCCAATGCTTTGTCATGCATAAAGCAACTATACAATCTTCACAGGATTTTGCCCCCAGTAATGGATAGTCTTCTCTTAACGCATTATATGTTTCTAAAATATCCCTCTCTTCGTCTTTAGTAACTGGTCTCCTCAATTGTGAGTAAGCTCGTAGATACTTCCCAACAATATTTAATTGCAGTTCAACATTATTAGCTCTTAAATATTTATAAAAGTTTATTGCTGCTTGAGGTTTGCCATAACTTAGACATAGGTCATAGATAATAGAATCTATTTTATCATTCAAATCAGGAAACTCTTTTTGCATTTCTTCACGAATGGCTGTCCACGTATCATTGTCAATATTTTTTTCATCATTATTATTTTGAGCATCAATCATTAATTTATTGATCATTAATTCTTTTTCTCGAATTTGGTCCATGCGAAAGACTTTTCTTATTGCAGGTCGGTTGTAACTTTTTTTAGCAGAAGCTGGAACTGCATTGTTGAGTAGACGTTTGGTGCATTGAGCAAAACAAATAGAAGATCTCATAAATAGACTCATTTTGTTTCTAGAAAATCATACAAGATACATAAAGTAAATAAATCATGAAAATATAAAAATTTTATAAACAAAATCAGAAACGGCCTAACCTTAACTACAATGTCATCGGCATGCAGCACAAATGTAAAAAAGCCGGCTGCTAATGCGAGTATATGTGTATATACAACATAAACAGACAAACCACGTGAGTTCAGTTTTTAGCCGCAAGCTGAATTAATTGCAGGGCGCATGCTCGTACTTGTCAAATTGGAAATAATATTGCAAATTTGCAATTCGGTTTTGAAGATTGCCTTATTGGGTTGTTCAAGATTTAAGACTAGTAAAAATGGTAAATGGGAAGGAAGTTTGATAAGAATTTAGTTAAGGACTGTTTAAATATGGACAATTAATACTAATCAACTTGAACGGTTATTACAATTTTATACTTAAATCAAATTTTTCAAGGTAATCTGTATTTTACCAAAGTTTTCTTAACAATTCTAGTGGGTATATTTAAATTCAACTTTTTTTTATTCCTTTCAATCAAACATTGTATTTCAAACATCAAACAGAAGTTGAAATAATCAATCAAATATATAATTCAGTTTACTTCATGTATATGCCATACCATTCTTTAACTAAAATTTGTTTTTTTACAATTTTAAAAAAAAAATTTTGTTCTAGAAGTAATGTCTCATATTTTTAAACAAGAATAGAAAAAATATTGAATGTATTAAAAACAAATGATATAATTGGCATTCGTTCGAGATGATGGCAGATAGAGATAGAAAGTATGTATAGAAAAAACGACACTGCTAAAATTGTAATACAAATTTCACAAAATGTGATTGTTATAGATTTATTCATAGGATAATTATATTAGTTTTACCTGCTGGACATATAATTGAATTTATTTATATACATTTATGCAAATAAAATTATTTTGATAAATAACAATTGAATTTTTATGATTATAAACAAAAATCTATTTTACACAATTATAATTAAAAATGCGCATTATATTGCGAATCAAAGATATTCAAGTCTAGTTATCGCATCTACAGATTTACAGTCTCTAAAATTCTTGAAAAAGCATTGTTTTTGATTAGCATCAACTGAGTAGCCCGAAATATGAGAAATTAATTCGAAGTTGCGCTATAAAAATAACCAAAAATTCCTTTATTGCCTAAAATTAATTTTTTTAGAATGTTAGCCGGAACTCGAAATGACCGAATCATCAAATAAATTGGAATAATATGATTTTTCTTGTAGTGACAAGTCTCTACAAGGAAAAACTACGCGTTTTACGTAAAAATAGTGTTGATAAAATCTTTTTCCTACTTAAAATATAATAATGACATCGCGAGCTCAGTGCGATTTTACGTATAAATACACCTGAAGTAAATTATGATCGTCAAACAATAAGAATTTTTTAGTGCGAATCAACTTTTTTAGTTACTACATAATTTAACACTGTGAAGATGAAAAATATAGTTATCATTATAAGTTTAATTGTGACGGTACCCCATATTTCTAATTGTTTACGATAGAATATGTTTTAAGTTTGAAAAGTCATACATGTTACTTTGTTGTTCATCCGACTTTACAGGCTCATGCTGCCGATCATAGTCTCGATAAAGATGAACTTGAGGTAAAGGAATACTTTGAACAATGTTTATCGGAACACGGCTTAAAAGAAAGTAAGTAACTAAGATTTAGGGGTATGGTGAAGCTAGCCCAAAACTCATATTTTCGATCGTGTTTTCTGAAACTTCGGCCGACGATTTCTATGAAAAACTCTATGGTACCTTACAAAACAGTAAGCAAACTGAAAGCCGCCTTGTAAAGAAATATTCAGTAAAAGTTACAAAAAAGTAGAAGTTTGAAAATTCGAATTTTTAGTTACCATCTATTTAATTTAACTTTTATCAAATATTTTGAAAAGACAAGTAAATAAAAAATATTTATAGGTGATTTGGAAGAGTTGAAAAATAAAGCTGATCCACAAATTTTGTGCATCACAGCTTGCGTTTTTGAAAAACAAGGATTGGTAAGTCTTATAAAAAAAAATTTTTTATTCTAATTCTATCGCTAAGATGGATGTATTTTTTCAATGTAATCATTTATTTTTTAGTTGATGAAAAATGGTGAATTTAATAAGAAAGAAATAATAAAAGTTGAGCAGGAAGAAGACCCAAATTTTAAGCAAGATGATTTCGATGAAATATTTAGTTTTTGCGAAGAAAAGGGTAAGTATACGTTTTAATATGAAGGGATACTGAAACTTTTAATGAAACATTTTTGAACCTAAATTTTGACATTAGTAATAAAAAATATTTACTCAAAATCTTAGTAAAAGGTTTATAAAAATTTTTATCAAAGCTCAATTATCCTCTTTATTTTAAGCTTTAGTTAGAAAATTAAAAAATTTCCAATATTTGAATTTGATTTTTACAGCAAAAGGCATTGACGATGCTTGCCTGAAAGGTAATACTTTGACAATGTGCTTCTTGGATGAAATTAGTCAACTCGATGACAAGAATTAAGTTACGTACTCTACGAAATAATGAAGTACCTATGATTTGTTTTAATACATGAAAAAAAAAGAAGAAATGTACCAATCTAATAATAAAATTCATACTTGTACAGTAAAAGTTTAATGTTAAATTTTTATAATTTTCATTTCACGATTTTGAAATAATTCATTTATTATGTATATCTCGCACCACATGACATCTACATGATCTTAGCTTATCAATTTATTATAAATCAAACTCCTAATACTATCTGTCCCTTCGCGCATTTCTTCGATGACACATTACATTTACGTCGAAGAGAAAAAAAAATGATGAGTCCGCGCGATAATTTGATGAAGGAAAATGTCCATCAATCGCGATTAACGATTTTTTTTTTAAATCTCGCGTTTATTGAGAATACATGTAACGCACGCATGCCGTATATTAACATCGGCACAGGCGTTGTAATGTGTATAATATAGCATGAAAAAAGCATACGTCCACATAAAACGCGATCAGAAACGCGCGAGAAAGAGAAAGAGAAACTCGGCGCTGATAAGCTCGTGCGCTATAATGTACACTCGCGGAGTATTGGAAATACATATAGCCGCTCGATCGTTTCGAACTCTCTGCCGTCAGTCTGTCGGCGTGACTCTGTCGGGAGAAAGGCTAGTATAGTAGTATAGCTTATATCATATGATGAGCAGCTGACGAGTGAGATTGAGCGAGAGAGAGACTCGTTCAGCTGAGAAATTGATTTTCACTCCTCTTGGGCTTCGTTTAATATAACGTTTTATTCTCATGAAAACTTGAACGCAAAGTTTTCACGGTGTGCTGTTGTTGCTGCTGTTGCTGCTCTTGTCTACATCTACAAAAAGTGACTCGGTTTTCTTTGCTTAATTTTGTGTGTGTGTAGCAGCGTTGCGTACACGTGAAGGCCTCTCGATTGCCACTGTGACACATACGTCTCTCTCTCTCTCTTCATCGGTCAGTATACACAAGCACACACAATATTATTTAGTTTATGCTCTCATACACGGTATATGGCTACTCTATCTAGCTTGGAAAACGTTTCTGACTTATGCCCGATGAAGCTAAAAATTATGACTCGAATGAAAATCCCCGATAAAGTGTGGGAAACTGAACTCGTGAAAGCAATGAGCCTTTGCAGAAAAAGACATTGCATTAATTTACAATTGATAAAAAAATGTTTTATCAGCTAACGTAAAGTCTGCGAATCATGATTGCCATGATGATTATTTGAGGCACAAATACTGTGTCAATCGAAATTCTACGAGAGATCGTCTTTCTGCAATTCTTTTCAATAAATGTATGTATTACATCTAATGATGTAATACTTTTTTTTCAGTGAGACATATTTTGATCGAATACAATGCATTGCAATGAAATGATGAAACGAATAATATGTGTTACAGTTCATTACTCAGTAGAATACAGTCTAAATTACTCATAACAATCTATTGAATGTTTACTTTAATGCACATGTAAGGCTAGTTTATTAAAATGTAAAGATCGGTAATTGATGGCTATCTGATACGTATCTTATAGTATTTGGTACATCTTCCTTGACGCTTAAGATAAAAACCTGCGACATCTTATCGAGCTAAAATTAATAATCTGATTCCAGACGATTATTGTTTCAATTTATTTACTCATTGTGACATACGTATTTGTAAAATATAATAGACGTGACTTTATTCAATATTTTCACAAGATATCGGTAAAATCGCAGATCTTTCATGACATTGCAGACAAAGTAAATCGATTTGAAAAATTAACATGTTTGTAATAACATCTAAGCTATATCTATCAATATTACTTTGTACGGCGACGATGTCTATGACAAGCTCATGATCAAAAGAGAAATGTCATTATAGGAAAAAGAAAAATGAAAATAGTCATGCCAAGAGGTCGCTCGTACAACAGATGTTCATTTCGCGATAAGATAAAATTCATAAAAATTTACTTTCTAACAATTTTGCGCTCAACAATGGCCAGTTGACCAACGCGATATTCTTTTTTTTTGCTCGTCAAGTATTTTGTAATTGTTCTCTCGAGTCGAAGATGTTTCGTAAGTTAACGTTATTTACTACGATAATTAAAAGTTATTTTTGTACAATCAAATTATGCGGCTATGTTGACACGTGTCAAGCATAATTCTATAAATGCAAGTCACCTATTTTACCACATGCCAAGCTGTAATCAAAATTATCAAATGGCTAGATACGTAATGCTCACATTAAAATGTTAAAATAATTAATAAAGACGAATTCACGATGGTGTCGCATACATTTAAAATGTAAAACATGCATGTAAAACATTCAAGCCATGCTTGAAAATTTCTACTGGATATTTCTGCATCGAGTCAGTTTCGAATATGTAACAATGAGAATAAGTTTGAAAAAAGAGAGTCGGATAAATTCGTTACAACAACATTAGATAAAATCAATCGACACTTCATAAATAAATGGAATATTTTTAACTTGCTGCACAAACACTCGAAGAGGGCAAGCCTCGTTAGTTTCGTAAAGCCTATAAAAAGTTGACCAATCTCCTCGTATCAAGGTTGAGCAATTTAATGAACCGAAAGAAGGAGAGAATGTGGTCTGTTTATGTTCGATCCCTCCATAAGTTTCTAGTGCAGCCGAGATAGTTTTTTTCTTCTTTAGGAGCTGCCAAACTTGCCGAGATCATACGAATTTTCACACTCGCATTTTGTAATCAAATCTGAAAAGATGTGCGATTCACTTTCTCGGTGCTCTTTCTAACACGTAAATTTAACTTCGATAAATAAAATTGTTCATCTATTGCAGATAAATAATGGAGAGCTACACCTCGGACTCTAGCGACAGCGATTCGGCGGCGAAAACTCTGGATTTGACCTATCTCCAGCTCAACGAGGAGGTGCTGGACGAGCACGTCGTGAGCACGACGAATCCGGAGCACGTCGAGACTCTGCTGCTGCACCACAATCGCCTGTATCGCCTGCCCGAGAGCATAGCGCGTTTCTCAAATCTCGTCACGCTGGACCTATCGAGCTGCGGTCTACACAGGGTACCGGACTTCATCGGCGGCCTCACGCAACTAGTCAGCTTCTCGGCGAAGAACAACAATTTGGACAACGAATCGCTGCCCAAAAGTTTGGATACGCTGCCGAACTTGAAGGAATTAAATCTCAGCGGCAACAGACTGACTCATTTTCCGGAACAAGTGCTGGACGTGCCTTGGTTGAGATACCTCTACCTTGGAGGAAATCAAATTCGAGAAATCCCTCATGATATCTGGAAAATTCAACGGTAAGTTCGAGTATCATTCACTTTTGTAAAAGAGGGCACAGAGGCATATCGATTGAAAAAAGAACATTCTGTGAATCAGATTTTGATCTTTCGAATTACTTCTAATTATGCAACATTGACGTGAAAGCTCTCTGTTATCTATATAAGACACGAGTGAGATCCACTATGAGAGAGGGGGGGTGTGTGAGCAATTAACTAAATTTTGTTTCTGAAATACGAGTTGAGGTTTATTAAAAATTCTTAAAACTATATTTACAATTATAAACCTCTCTTACCTGAAATACGAGAAACGACAATTAAAGCTAATTGACCACTCTCTTTAAACACATGTGTACAACTGACAATTCAGACTCATTCGTCTTACACACTCATACGTATAATATTTACAAACTTATATGAGGCGCGCACAACTGATACAGCGCCTCAATTATACATTAAAGAAACTAAGTTTTCTTTACATCTATACCCTCTGAACTTGATACAGATCTGTATTAGATTGACGTCGTTTCTTGACAAAAAAAATACTCTTCTCAGCTAAGATAGGTAAATTTTTAGCAAAACTTTACTTCGAAATTAGAGGCTTCAGTTCCGAATAAGAGTGAAATTCTTTAAAAATATTACGTGAATTATTAATCGATAGTATGATAATGAGATCAACAAAGCTTCATAACAACTCAACGGTGAAAACCTCAGAAAATTTCTTTGAAAAGAGACATTGTTCTTTGTCTTCGGCTGTATCTTCACAAATTATTATCACAGTACATTTGTGCTAATGTTTTCTAATAGTTCATAAAAATTCTAAATTAGAACTTAATTTCGATTGATTTTATTACAATAAATTACTATCAATATTTCTATTACTTTCTCATCATTTTCTGTAACTTGTGCATAATGCCTAAGATCGAGTTGAATCGCGTATAATCGTAAGTGATTTCCTCTATTTTACATTCGACTGATTATGATTAATTAAACATCTTCTTAAAAATAAAATACTTAAAAAATGGTCGTACAAAATATAGTAATACGGCTGGTACATTAATTTGTTTATCGAGAAAGACAGGATGCGCAATAAATTCGTAAATAGCTTCAAGACGTGGCTAGCACAGACCACAAGTACGTATATAACCTATAAAAGTCGAATTACGCTAGACTCATTGCCGGCAACACTTCTGATCGTCGTGACAATCAATCGCACGATAAAGCAGAGTCTTATTGCTCTAGTCAGACTCGTGAGACTTCTTAATTTTGGATTTAATTACGAGCTTGACTTACGTCAAGCTTCTCAAAAAATTGGTCGTTAGACCTATCAAGTGTTCCCCTCCACGGAAATCTTTAGTAAAAGGCGAAAGATTTATGCGTGTACTGAAGGGAAACCAAGGTGACGAGAACTGGTAAACGCTGGCTTAATAACGTCTGAACTTTGCTTATATTCTTTCGGGTACATAATATTTCGATCTTTTTTCCACCTAGCGGCCAATTTTGGTATCCCGCGCAGGTCTGTCCTCAGGCTCACTGCGAAGCGCGCGCTGCGCGAAGAATTCAATTGCGCAATCGTGTCGCGAACATTTGACAACTATCTTAGAGAATTTTCGACTTTAAACGATCTCATACATCATTATTAATTAATAATAAATTGTTTTCATTAACAAATTATCGATTTGAATAATCATAATTCATTGTAGTTTGCAATTATTAGCTACTGACGGTAGTGGCCTGATGAAAATTAAAATTTATAAATAATTTTTTTCAGTAACAAATAATCAATTTCAATAATTATAATTTATTGCAGCTTGCAGTTATTAGCTATTGGAGGCAATGGTTTGACAGAAGTGCCTTCGACATTGGGACAATTAATTTCTTTACAAGTTTTGAACCTGTCAGACAATAATCTCGAGAGCCTGCCTAGATCAATAGCTAACTTGAAACATTTGAAAACACTACTACTGCATAAAAATCGTTTGAAAACATTACCCACTGAAATTATTACACTGAGGTGTCTCATAGAGGTACTGTCATTACAGAATCATATTATTATTTCTAAATTCAGCGAAACTTATTTATATAACTCATTATTTTGGGTAGCTTTCGTTGCGAGACAATCCATTGGTAGTCAGATTCGTGTCGGACATGACGCATGATCCTCCTTCGCTCAAAGAATCAGCAGCCCGAGTAGTTAAAACACTGGAAATTCCGTATAGAAAAGAGGATTTACCTAGAACTCTGATAGATTATCTCAACAGTGGTCACAGATGCGTAAATTCTCGGTGTCAAGGTAACATTTCTTTCATTAGTCATTGATTTTCAAAAAACCTAATAGAAATGTAACATTATCGCAATTTCACCTTCAGGTGTGTTTTTCAACAATCGCGTGGAGCACGTGAAGTTTGTGGATTTCTGCGGAAAATACCGACTTCCTTTACTTCAATATCTATGCAGCAGTAAATGCATAGAACCAAGAGAACGAGACGCAGAGTCCGTCAGCGGAGCGATGTTACGCAAAGTTTTGCTCGGCTGATTGTTTAGAATTTTTTACTTTTCTATTTTTCATGTAAATATACGAATATTCTGATAGCTCATTATTTTTTTACTGACTACATGTGGTGGAAGAAATATTAACTTTTAAACACCTGAATTCGCAAAGATATCCGCACTGATGAATGCGTGCGCTTTTTCATGTGATTTTCATCAAGTAGATTAAAGAAAGCTTCAGGTAAAAATATTTTATAAGAATTTTTTTCAATTAATATTATATTGTCCGTACATATTGATCTCATGAGTTAACGAACTTTACCCCGTAATAATGCGATATTTCAAGAATTTTGTTAATCACGTTATGGAAGCAAGTATTTATTAATTTCTTATTGAATGTAATAACACAAAAAAAAAACAAACAAGTATATTGTAAAGGTTTATAAGTTTGACAAAAGACAGAAATTAACGTTATTTTAAATATTTTATTGTTAAATAAACCACAAAAATGTACAATTACAATAATAGTGTATACTACCATTCATAACGGCCTCAATTTTTCATGACATAACTAAGTTAAAACTCTTAAATTACCACATGTCTTACGTCCACTCTATGACACTCTAATCCAAATTATAATTGTGTCTCATTGTTGTGTTATATTTAAATTATATATTTTTTTCATTCAAATTTTAGACTTTTTTAATATCATTGGTTGTTTTCTTACGAACATTCATTTTCCTTTACTTGTAATATATTATATTCATACATCAAAAAAAAAATCTTACGATGACGTATCGTACAATAGCGTGAATTATTAGTAGTCTTAAAACCTAGCTGGGCCATCATTTGTATGATGTTTGAATTAAATTAATAAACATTTCGATGAACAATTCTTGAATAGTTGGTATACCTTACAGTTTCACTATTACAAGAGTTATAATTGTTAACTTTTGCGTACGTTATCGTAACAATTGGCCATTTTTGTATGTACTTTTTGTTTTTTTTGTTTTTGTTCCTCGAAAGTAACTTGAACTCCACCATACAGCTTTGGATTGTCAGCGTTTTGTTAGGATTTAGGTGAGTTTAGGGCAATGAAAGACGAAACAAAGTCTCTTAGCGTGTACGGAGTTGACTCGTGGAAATTATGAATTTACTGAGTGAACCCTATAAAATGTAAAAATTTGCCTTTTTCGAGACTTGACATTACGAAGCATATATTCATATTATTGCAAATTTATGTCACATCACTAATTGTTTTCTTTTATAGAAACATAGTGCATAAAAGCTAGTTTGAAAATATTACAGTGTAGGTTTATTGATGATCCAAGGATATACCTAAAAAGTATAAAAATAAAAATTTTCATACTCATTGAAAGAAAAAAATATTCGTGAATATCTATTTGGTTGTTCTGTGGGTATGTACGTAGCTTTTTAGAAAAATATTTCATAAAAGTCATTGCAAACTTGTTTGAAAATTTTCATGTGTAAGTTTAAGAATTCTGCAGCATATTCAGTTCATGCATCTCAGGCAAGTTTACTTCAAGTGAGAATCTACAACACGTACGTATGCATGCACAATGTATTCATCCACACATATACTTAAAAAAATCACAAAAGGCATGCAAGCCACGTACAATTTTGAGAATTACGCTTTACGAGGAAGATATTTAAAACTTCATGAATATAGGTATTTCATAGGTCTCGACGCGTAAAGGTAAAATTAAACGATTACCCAAGCTAAGCTCGGATGTAATTTTGTGTTGTATCATACGTTTAAAAAAATTAGACATTAGAAAAAGTTACCGGATTTTTTTCATAATCTATTAGACCAATGAGGAATCGTTCGTTACTTCATAATTGATGATAATGTACTTGAAAATGTTACGTCTGAATGACAAGAAAATGTAAGAAGAGTTCATACACATTATTCGAAGTCCTTAAAATGAACAGTCGGTTGATTTGAGTCTTTACAAGTTATTTAATCGTCGCTTTAAATAATATACAGAATAATCTTATACATACATGAATATCGATTCAACGGAAAAATGTTTTAGATAAAATGATAGATATAAAATGAGAGGATTTTGAAAGACACTTATAAAACAATTTTCAATTAATTATCCATTAAATTTTTTTATTATTATGAGTTAATTAATAAATATGCATCACTAAAATTAAAATCGTCTCAATGATATAAGTTACAAAAAAATAAAAAGGGATTTAGATTCGGTCGAACAATACAATTATTACATTATATGTCAAGACTCGCGGCACTCGAACAGTAAATTGTGACCATCGTCCGAAGCATGAGAACATTAATTTTTAATCCCTTTGACGATTCATAATTACGTTTTTCTGCCTCGAACATAATCCAAGGTGCATTATCGCTAAATTGTTTATTTTATTTTTTTTTTAATTTTAATATTAAATTTTGTTTGCATGCGATTGGTGCACTAAACAATGAAGTTGGCGCATTATCATCGTTTACATTTATCTACAAGTTATACGTATATGCACCCGATTTTCAACACAAGCTTCACTGCATTTTCATTATAATAATTATTTATCTCTCACGACTTTAATTTCTCGCTCATATATTCATCGATACATTCACTACATCACACTTAATAATTATACACATACGCAAGATATCGTCGTCAACTCTAGTTTCTAAACTTGATTTTATTTAATATTAATTAGCTTTTTTAAATGTATGCGTTCATTAAACTTTATTGTAAATGGTTAATCGATATAACTATTACCCATATTGTAAACAATTATTACACTTATCGCCTTAGTTTTTTTCCTTTATCTAGAAGTTGTGTCAAAATATGAAAGCAAGGATCCTTGACACAGTTGTATATGAACATTGAATTTGGAAATCATGACTTCTATTGGTGCTTTTAGGTATTTTCATGAATTTGACCTGCCATATGTGTAAGGTTAATAGATTATGATAAAATATTTAAGAAATAATTAGAAAAAACTATGATAAATAATTTGCTATGCAAAGATCTCGAAATATTTACAAAAAATTATTGCATTGGTCTTCAACTGCTGAACACACGTAAACTATAAAACACAATGGTTCTTGTCTCCAATCCATTAATTTATTTACATAAATTTCATTTTAGCTTATTTATCAAATGAAAGTCAAAGGCTTCTCGTTCATTACTTATATACACATTTAATAATCCCAAATAAAATATTCAAGATCTATGTACTCTAAGCATTCTCATATAAAACAGTATATATATTTATATACATGCACTTTATTTAATTTTACTATGCACCGTCAGGCTTACAACGCATTTCATAAGCAGGAACTGAAATTGTTCGATCGAAGTCATGATTCCCAAGCGAAACTTTATCAGGCCCCAGCCGAGCATGAAGTTTGAGTGAAGGGAGTGGCGCGATTGATAAGTGAAGCGGTATTTTGCAATTATTCAACAAATTCAATTGTGATCAACTCGTTAAACCTCAAAGGTTCAATTCGCTCTTACACACACATTTTTTTTAACGTCGAGGAGACAGTACATAATAGTGTAAGCTACTGCATATTTCATGTAACAAAATTCATTGTTTGAAATCAATTATACTTCATGTGACTTGCTTTTGCTCCATATTTTATATATAAATGATTTTTTTCGGTATTGATCGATTAACATTTTTCTTTCGTAGTTGTCACAACAAAAGCTGATTTTATTATTATTTTAATTTCACTTTTGTGGTTAAAATTATTTTGAATATGTAATAATAGTTCAGTTTTTTTCATACATATATTTATAGATTTATATAATATATATAATATATATTATATACTATTTTTATATGTAAACTTTCGGTATTTTACACGGGTTTGCTTAGTGTTAAAATAGATTAAACTACTTATCGACAATGCGCGTGGCTCCGAGACTTGCTCTAATAACTTTTTTCATTGTCGATGATCAGAAATAAAATTATTAATGGTAATTAACTAACTGTTATTCATATAAAAAACAGTTGGCCCAAGAATTACATATACAAGTAGAAATTTGATCGTCGAAATAAAGAAAAAGTAACTATCTTCTAATTTCTCATTGTAACAAGTTAATTGATATTATTTTTATAAAAAAAAAAATGTAACCAATTAAGCTTTGCGCATATCATTTAACTCAGTTTGCAAAGCCTTTAATTCACCGACATTTACAAAGCTTACACATGTCGTATCTAAAAACTAATTCCAGAAAACAATCAATGAAATTTGCTCTATACTGTACAAATTAGATATTAAATATCCTTATGCAATTAATGCTAAGTTCTTTCACTTTCGTAAGATTTTCTTTAATAATATTATTCCATGTACGTTTTTTGAAGTACATACATCAATTCGACACCAAAGATTTCTTTTTACTATACAGTCAAAGAAAGGCGACTTGTCTTTCTCATCCTTATTCATCAATTGTTCATTTATTCTTATGTTTTCCTAGTCGTACTTTTTATAAATACGCCAAACAATATCAGTTAGTTTTCTTTCAAAGTGAAGTACATAAAAGCACATTGCGTGTTATGCATGTAAAATCGATTGCGCAATTCGTTTAATATATATTTTTTATGTTATTATTCAAACGATTGATCGTCCGATACTTGCACTTTTTTGCAATAATCCTCAAGATGACAAGAGACTACATAACGGTTATTCGGATTATATGTCATTATTTCAAAAATTTGTTAAAAATCAAGAATCGTTTCACTTTTTTATCGTATCATAAGTTTATTTAGTCCAATAAATATATATGTATATTATATAAGATGTTATTTTACGCAAATAAGTTGTCGCCAGGCGGCGCTCACAGTTTTTCCAAAACGTCTATATCTTTATCACGCTGACATACATTCATTAAATTTTCGCGATAATCTTGAGGTGTACGACATTCCTGCCACTTTTTCAGTAGAATTCTATATATTTATATTTATGATATAACAATATTTCTTAAAATGTGACGATGGTATAGAAATATTTAATACTATACCACTTTTCATGAATGACTTTATCAATGTTGCGCTTATGATGTTTGTTTTTTGAAGGAAAACGTAATTTATCATATTAGAAAGAAGCCCAGCCTTCAAAGCTCATTATTTAATTTTTGATTTAATAAACAAATAAATGGACGTAGGAGTTATCAACGTTTGAACAATTTAGTTGAATGAAACAATCTGTAATAAATATATACGAAGAACATATTGCATAAAACAATATATTCCAATGTGAGGAAGACGTCCAAATTTAATATTTGAGACCAAAGAAACATGCATGTTTTAGATACCTAAAAATGAAGCGCTTATATATTATTACTTTAAATCCTGCAACCAAATAATTTGGTTACCATAACAAACACGCAACACTTTTAACAATAAAATTTAATGTAATCTTTAATAACGACAATTTTGATTTTTTTCATTCATTTTTTTGCAAACAGTAATATCATATACAACATAGACTTACTTAATTGAACCCGATTAAATTATTCAAAACATTTTCATGAAAACGAGTGACAAACTTTAATTGATGCCCTAGCGGTATATATCAATATCTACGTCATAAAAATATGAGTAAAAACTTAAAACTACAGACAAAAATAAAATTTGTATAAGAATGATGAAGTTAAATGTGCAAATAACGCACACCTATTCATTATAACTTTTCTACATTAGGGAAATTCAAACAATCGCCGAATGGTTGCTACAGCCGGCAACACTTTTTGATATGTAGACGCTCATCAGGTATTTAAATAAGAACATTTTCATCACGATCTTTGCAGTATCATCGTTTACTCAACTTTCGTTAATTTACTCGTTAGAACTTGAAACGTTTTGGTTAGAGCACTCGTTATCTCGTTTCCACGTTACATAAAAACTCTTTTCATCAAAAATTGACATTTAAAATTAAACTTATACTGCGAAAATACAATACATTGCATATTTATAAGATAGATAGACAATTCATTAATACAACATGAGTTTCAAATAATTTGCTTTATTTAATGTCGGAATGGTAGGTACCAACATAGTCGAAAAAATTTTTATATGAATCCATATCCATATAAATATTAAACTATCTTGATTCCAAAATTTTTATCTTAGTCATGATAAATTAAAATATCAAGTAAAAAATCACGAAATATTTAAAATACCATTCTTTTTATTACAAAGAATTCATGAATAAAAAAATATCATATTCAATAAAAGTTAATAAAAAGTTTACATGGTGGAGATCTAAGAAAAGAGACACTTACAGCCAAAAAGTATTTATACATATTTACTTCTATAATCAATTTGATTATATTTTTACTTTTTTGGTTATTTAATCATGAGAATAATGGCTTAAATAATTATTAATCATATATTTGGACCAATTCCAGACAATCAAAAATGGTACTTAAATCAGGACCTCAGAATTCATAAAAACTTCACTCCTACCGAGTTTCGTCGTATAATGCTTCGGTAGTTAATAAACTGCAAAATGATTGCACTCGATTCGCTATTTAATAACTTCCATAAGATTTTCTTAATTAACTTTATAAACACAACAGTAGGTGATCATAATAAATAATGGTAAAAGCTCGATTGATATCGATTCTTTCAAACATATTTCAGCGAAGTCAAACATTTTCTCCAACATAAATTATACAACAATTTATATAAATTTTGAATACGGTCAATATCATCATACTGAAGAAGCATTCTGCAATTAGTCATTCAAAGTAAGAATGTGCTTGTACGTGGCGTGGGCTTTTTTCCTTGATAATTATAACTCCATCCAGAATTTTCATACCAAGCATCGTCAAATTTAACATTTAACATTCACAAATCGATTTTGTTTGGTTAACTTAAAAGATTATCGTCTTAAAAGATTAGTGTCTGACTTTTTTCGCTATGTACATTTCGAAAAAATATTCGATACCAAATCTTAGAGGATAAGAACATGAAAATTAATTTTATTCTTTTCCTCGTTAATTTTTACATCGCGAGGCTCGAGCCTATATTATTTACTATGATTAAAACATAGTCGCAAACATCTCTGAATGCATGTGTTCATGCACCTACGTGTCGTTCCTCCTAAATTGAAACACAATTTAAGAGAAATTGTCTTATTTCGTCGCATAAGATTGAAGATTTGTATGCACGTTTATATGAATGCAAATCTTGACAATTGAAGCATTGAAGATTAAACGAGTTGCGCTCGTTTACCTTATTTATGAAAGATTTATGAAAAATAGGTGCCCATCTTGGTATTTTTCTTGTATATCTCACGCCGATGATTATGTATGGGTATTTGGATTTGGTGTAATTAATCCACATAAATTGCTGATGCTTTGAAGAGTGTCCAAGTTATTGTTGCGGTCGACTGAAGAAAGTGTCATAAGAGCCAGTTGAAAAGTAAGATGAGAAAAAGTCTGTTCTTCAAGGATGAACACACCTGTTAATTTTGAATGATAATTAATTTTAATTAATAATTGAAAATTGAGCGTTTCAACGCGTAATATTAAGAATTAAAAACCTAAAGTAGTGATCTGCATTGAACTATATTATTGATGGAGTTAAACTATAATTTTTATTGATTTAGTAATATTCAATAAAGACAGCTACTCTAATGGTTTATCAAATATGCTGGTAAAAATAAATAGCATTGCATGATAAATTAAGGGTATATTTCAATAATAAACTACTTGCTAAATTTTTCAGTTGCAGAGCGCCATTTTCGATCATTATTCGAGCTTGAAAATAATCAATAAAAAACCTCACCATTTAAGCCATGTTAGATTGGCTCGAGTCAGTGGCATTCTGTGCCGCGGCGTTGGCTGCAGCGGTCTCGGTCCCGTTGCCGCCGGCAGCGGACGCGGCCGTGGTGGGCGTACCGGGAGTCGGGCCGGCTGTGCTCGACGCCGCCGCAGATGCGCTGCTGGCTTCGGCCTGGGTCGTCGCTGGAGACGGCTGCTGCTCAATGTGTTTAGGAATGAGCACGCTGTTCAGCTGAGGCTGAATCCTGAGCTCGTGCTCGGTGAAATTGAACAGTGGCGGTAGCTCCCGAGCGTTCGGTAGTCGCGTGCCCTGCTCGCGCAATTCATCGAAGAAGCTGTGGGCGCAAGCGCTCAGCGGTGTCATACGCCGCGAGGGCGTATACTCCAGCAGACTGGCAACCAGGTCCATTGCTTCTGGTGGCGTGCGTGCCCTGAATACCTGATTTTTTTTGTTTAATTAAAGTAGCAAAAGTTAGTCATTAGTTCTTTGTTACAACGATTTTTTAGAATTAAATAGAAGATACTTGAATCTTCTTCGTGGTAAAGGGGTATGAAACGCTTCCTTTGTTTTTAATGTGGGATACATAATTGTTCATCAATGGTTTAAGTATGTTTATCTCGTGAGTTGAATAATAAATTAAATCGTGCTTTGATTTTTAAGATTATGTTGTCGCTGAATTATTCACACCAATGAATATTTAGTTTCGTTTAACTTATCAAAAGTAATTGTTACTTTTTAATTGTATTATGAGGTGAATGGATACTTGTTATGGTGCAGTAAAGTAACTGTCATAGTTTTAGATAACTTTTTTACAAAAGTTGTTATGGTGTTACTTGTATAATGTTTTGGAAACGTAATGCGTATAAGCTTCATGAATATTTCTAAATTTATATTTTCATTTCTTGTTTGTGTGCCAAATATGAGAGCCCCAAAAACATCAGAGTAAGTGATTTTTCACAGAGAATGTTTTATATTGAAAAATATTAGTAATGTTAGACCTTTTTGTATTTTATCAGTTTATCAAAAAGTTCTAGGACAGTACTAATGAAATCATGTAATATGACAATAATCTTCAAGCAATAAAGAAATTACGTATCATGATATAAGACCTTTTATACAATCAAGTTATTTTGGGGCCAAGTACGGACATGAACCAATGAATATGGAAACTAGGTTCTTCTAAACAAAGTGAGTTGAAAAAATGTTCTTATGACCGTTCAAAAATTTTTTTCTAAAAAATAGTTACTTTTTTCGCTGATATGAAAATCACGAGTCTTTCACTCGTTTTATTTTGTTAGTGAACGAGCTGGCAGATAGAAAGAAAAACACGTAGAAAAACGTATAACGTTGCAGTCATTTAAACATGTTCCAAAGCTTTATATCACCACTTACTCTAATTTTTTGGTGCTCGGTGGAACATTTTGGTAAGCTCATTCGTTGAAGCATAAACTGCAAATCATGATTTGATATATGTGAAAAAACAAATGCTGTATGATACATGATTTTAATTTGGCTTATTTATCACCAGATTTTTGAAAATTCAGCCGTTCGATCCTTTAACTTTGTATATTTATTTGAGCATGATTGATTTGAATATCAAACAGTGACTGATTATTTTGGTTATCAATTTGATCAATAGCTAAAACTCATGTGACTCGAATTATGAAGAGTATTAACAGTATTTGTGCTTTTAAAAATTTAGTCACCAAGAGATCCACATGAAATGTTACAAATACATGAAATGAAACGCATTTCATTTCGATTCGGTGCCTAGTGAGGATATTCTGTAGGGAGTGAAACAAATTAAAAGAAACGTACTTTTTGCCAAGGATGAGACTTGATCTGAGGGAATTTGAATTCAGTATAATTTGGATTCATTTCCCGAATCTGATCACGGGTTGGTGTTCCGAGGACCTTAATTATCTCCACTAGTTGATCGACACCACTGTCACCGGGGAAAATTGGCTGACCGAGCAAAAGCTCTGCGAGAACACAACCAGCACTCCAGACATCTAAAATAGAGATCAAATAGTTGTTAAAAATTATTCATTTTAGTAAAATGTATAAAAATCATATCCTTTCTGAAAACTTGCCAATTTTAGTAGTGTAGTCGATCGCACCAAAGATTAACTCTGGAGCTCGGTAATAGCGACTGCAAATGTAAGATACATTAGGCTCGCCTTTGACGAGATGTTTAGCCGAACCAAAATCGCAAAGCTTCAAGATACCCGTCTCCGGGTCGAGTAGCAAATTTTGTGGCTTAATATCTCTGTGACAAATCCCTAACGAGTGAATGTATGCCAATGAACGGAAAAGCTGGTACATGTACAGCTGAAAATGAAAAAACAGACAAAATTAGTCTAAGTATTTATAAATTTAGAAAAAAATTGTTAGATAAGAGTAGCTTTCTAACACAAATTACAATGTTGTGCTGGAGCCTTGTTTTTTTATTGACAAAAGCATACATCACGAGCAAAATAATCCATCAGATTAAATAAACTCAATGTCGTGGATCGTTAATGTAAAATGATCATCAGTCGTTCGAAGCAGACTTAGCGAGGTATGATTTATTAGCTGACATTGTTCACATTTCATCGCAATAATTTGTTATACTCCAAGATTATGATAACTATCAGCCTTTTAAGTTCGCGCCATCTTTCAAATGCACATTCATAAAGCAATAAAAGCCGGTTACAAGAATAGAGCTTCATGTTGTCATTGTCAACAGTTATTATTTATTAAAATATAAACGAGTTGCCGTCAACTTACGCGATGAATTTTACTCGCGCTCTGTTACATAAATGTGACTTTTCAGATTTTCTACATTTTTCATATCGCTTCACGAGCTATTCTTCGATAATATTAAAAATAAAATGATTATATTTGCGATGCTTACCTTTATAAAACTTATGGGTATCGTTTGCTTGCTCTTGCTGTAGTGCCGGGCTACTTTGTATACAGTTTCAGGTATGTATTCCAGAACTAGATTCAGGTAAACCTCGTCTTTCTGCAATAAAAATTTCTTTGTCAAATGACAATATCATAAAGGTGATTGTACATAATTCGTTTTTCTAGCTTCAAAGAAAATATTTTTTCCGATAGAACATTTTATTTTATGTAATGCATAGTTTAAATAAGTCGGATAATAAAGATTCAATACTGATCTTTTACGAGGGTTCTTTCAGAAAAAACAAATTACATTGACTAGCCAAGCGCAGAGCTTTTTCTAGACTCAATCAATTAATGCAGTAATTTTTTCTCAGTATTCCCGTTTCAATCGTGAATTATCTTCCGAAAACACAGCAAAACTTTGTCATGTTCGGTATCTATTATTAGTAAATCAATACATTTTTTTCAGAAAAGCGTGGCTACCTAATGGACTCGCCAAAGGATATAATATATCACTCTATGTCTACAGTACGGGGGTACGCTTTAACTTACGTCCACATGAAAAACTGGATTAGTCGCGCTTAAGATGTTCTACAAAAAATAATATAAAGAGTGAGGCATGCATTAAATTAAATAATAAAAACTTAGAATCGTTCTTTCGTGAAAATTTGAATCGAATGATTGAAGATGAGCCAAATTATAATAACGAAATTAACAAAACTTGATTTTGAAATAATAAAATTGAACTAACTTTTAAAAAAGTTGAAAACGTGAAATAAGATTTTCCAATGAAGAAGAAAACATGCGAAACAACTACCGATTGAACAACAGATTTGTAAAAGATTTCATTTTTTTTTCCATTTCTCACTATTTAAAAGTAAACTTTCCGACTTAGCCAAAATATAATTTTTTAAACAGACTCAATTAATTTTAATTTTAACCCACTCCTAATTGAAAAAAATGGATGAATTAATGCAATCGAAAGTTACCTTATCACCGCTGGAGTAAAAGAAATACTTTAGTTTGACGATGTTGCAATGTTCGAGGCGCCTCATTATTTGTAACTCTCGATTCTGAAAAGAGCATAAGAATTCCTTTAGTATTGAAAATTCCACCATTATCAAAATAGTTGATGAAAAATGTTTTAATACTGACTTTGAATCTTTTGTCTTGTAAGACCTTTTTGATAGCCACGGTCTCGCCTGTCTCACAGAGCTTCGCCTGGTAGACGACGCCGAAGCTGCCATTACCAATGACCTTGGTGTCCGTGTAGGCGATCTCCTGCGGACGATCGGGTCCAGCGCCGGGTGTCGCCACGACCGTTGTCACCTTGCTGCCATCTTTGCCTGCGATGTACAAACCGCCGCCGCCACCCATAGAAAAAAACAGAAAAACACGTTTTCGATTATAGTAAAGCGTTTGCAATAATTACATTCGTATAAATAATCAATAAAAGATGAATGCAGTTGTCATGATAATTTAGTTATTCAATCATCATTCAATCAATCATGGTGAAAGCATGTATCAAAATAATAGACAGGGTATAATTTCGTCGCGTGCTGACGCATAAATTATCTCAATTCCTATGCAAAGCCCCTGGGCCATTGAATATTTATGCACTGATAGCTAGCCTTAATTATATCAAAAATCAGAACACTATGACGCGTGCGTAATATACGTCACGATTAAAATCAACACGTGTTCGTATTATGTACTATTTCATAATATTCAAATATTGAATAATAAAAAGGAGCGAGGAAAGCGTAAAACACGAAAAATGGTACATTTCACAAAAGAAATATCGCTGCTCTCTTAGTTACAATATTATCTGGATAAAAAAGTTCCATGTCAAACGCAGGCAAAAAGTTATTACTGGATACGGTCCAACGCAAAGACAAAGATTATGCGTTTTTTACGAGAGAAAATAAAAACGAACGAGCTCTCGTATCGTATATCAAGAATGTTTAACCGAGTGAACAATTTTTACGTCGGTGGATATATTTCGCATTCTCGCATTTTCCACGCTCGCGGAAAAGCGACACACACACAACAGCAGCTCTCGTTCTTGTAAGGTACATTTTTGAGAATAATACGCGCGATTCAAAAATCGCATGCATAATCGCGCGACACGAGATGCGCGCGCGCGCGAGGCGTATATATAAAGTGTGCCGAGATCCGATTGACGTTGATGTACCGCACGAAGTCGTCATCGATCAAGCTCGACTAGACCACTTGTATTTTATTCCAATATCGACCTGTTCGCTCCTCGTCGTGAGCAGATTGACCAGAGAACGCTATTAAAAAAAAATAATGACAATAATGGCCGAGCGCGCGTGTGACATTTCTTCAGTCGCGCGCGCCCGCGAGTTTTCCGCGCTGCAGCAGCAGATATTATTGCATACCGTGTGGTAGCCGGACAAGTGCACACGATCGCAACAAGCGCCGTCCCACACACTCGCGCACACATACTCACACAGTACAAAATGCGTTGCATGCGGCGCATCTTTCGCGCGACTATGAGCGCGTTACTTAAATGTTATTATATTGATTTTTTTTCTCCCGGGCAGATACATGCGAGTGAATAATGTGCGTAGGTTCACTCGCTAGAGAAAGAGAGAGAAAGAGCGTAAAAGTGCACTTATTGAATAAACCAGTATAAGAGCCCGATACTAGTATAGCGTATGTAAAAATCTGTACGTTATGGAATTTTCAAGAAACGTATTTACGCTCGAGCAAGGAGAACAATATGTTTATTATGTTTATATCAGTTACTCATTGATCGAGTTAGCTCGACGTAGCTTGACTTTATCAATGGCTAATCATAAAAATAACGAACTTGCGTAGCTGCAAGTCCTGACGTCATTTTTCTCTCGCTCTCTCTCCCTCTTTTACTCTTTCGCTCGCTCGAGCCGAACTAAAACAAACTTTCGTTTGAAATATATAGATTGTCTGCTAACGGCTTCACACAATAGAGCTAACTTGTAGCGACGTACCATCGACAATGTATACGTGTTTATGTGAAAGCTCGCACCACAATAAATATCGCTCCCTAACGTACGAAAACATACTTGAAATAGCCGTCTTAATTTTTCTCTTGGTCGTGCTTTGTAACTTTCTTGATGAACTTTCAGCGAAAAGTGTCGCGGCGGTTCTCGGAGGTTCGCTGTTAGTCGACGATACCCTACAGAGGGACTTTTTTTCAATATCTGGTTCACTGGTGTTGGACAATACCCTGACGACGGGCCTCTTCGAAATAACTGGTTCACTAGATTCGGTGGGAACTCGGCAAACCCTTTTCTTCGAGGAATCTGTCGAATGACTCGACGAGGATTCATCGTCCAATTTTGGATCTTCCACCGACAAATCGCCGCGACTCGCGTATTTCTTGGCTTTCATGACGTCTAGTTGTGTGAAGCTGAGATTTATGCCGTGCAAGTACTTGCAGAGCAGACACGTACGCCGAGGTGTTTATTCGGCCTGGCGGGCGACGTGTGTCCCCGATTATGTTTTCGAAATTCGATCGCACTGACTAAGCAATGAGCCTCTCTTATTGTTTATAAGATTCTCGAATCTGTAACCTACTCTCTTTCGATCTTTACCCTCTCTCTCTTCTCTCTCTCGCTTTCATTACGGTAATATAAAGCGACAGTTGTAAACATTACGCGCGAGGCGGCAAAAACGAATCTCGGAAATTTCTGTGATAAGAGTACTTCTGCGAGGTTGAAGAATGAGTCTCGTGAGAAAAGTGCAAATTTGTTTGTGCGCGTATACATAGAGATATATATCGTGCATTTACGTATGCAGCTCTTGCTCTTCTGTATTAATGAAGTCGTCCTTTGTTCTTTCTCATTTCTGCCGAGAGAAAGAGAGAATAGAGCTTGCCGACGTCGAAAGAAAATTGTTAATGTTTTTTTGGTACAATCCACGTGAACCTGCATAACCTATAGTCGACACGCGACCAGGTTATCTTTTTTTCTACGTGTGGCTCTTTTTGGCTCAAAACACCGATGCTAAGCAAACGATGATTCATCCCTAAAGACGGATTACAACAGAGGAATGCGTAACCGGAAACAATAATTCGAATTAATGTTTGTTCTCACGTCGGAATCTCCTGCGATGAAAAGATGAAGACTCCATGCAAGAGAGGCGCCGTCGGCTTTGCTCCCGATGGGGCAACGGCTCTGCAATGAACGACGACGACGACGACGGCTATGCTTTAGCCTTCTCTTTTTAGCTTAAAATCTCTGTTTCAGGTCTATACTACTATATACTGCTCGCCTTAGCTTGGAATTTCACGCGACCACTTACGATCGCGCATAAAACACACGCCGCGCGTAGCGGTGCATAAAACGCAGTTGCTCGCGAGCGAGTAGATATTTTTGGTAAGGCCCTTTATTTATAGCAATGAATGTGGTTGCACTTGCATTTTTTTAGAGATCGATTGGAATCATTTTCGATTAGTGTCACGCTCATATACTTATGTACATTATTTATTATTTATATTATTTATGTTATTTATTATACTCGTGCTTGATATATATTTTTCATGCAAATACGTCACGAGCTTTATCGAGCGCAATTCATTGATAAATGCGATTACTTATTAATGAATTTAATTCAGTGAATAAACAAACTTGAATTAAAAAACACGATTTTATCATCCGTCAATCTCGTTTACATTCACTTCGGCTCATTATTGTCAGCGCGTTAATCAATTTACAGAAAATTCTAGTCAAAAATGAAAACTGTATGAAATGAAACGCGAGAGATAAAGCCTTCATTTCTCTGAATGCATCGAGCATCGATACTTTTTCACTTTATAAACCGATGAGCATAAAATGATGATAGTAAATAAATTATTGGGTAAAAGTTGCAATTACAGCTTACAAAAGGCATTCACAGCTCTCTCTCTCTCTCTACTTCAAGGTGGCGCATAAAATCACGTGTAAAGTGATTTAACAAACGAGACAATTGCGAAGAAGAAAAATTAGAGATACAAAACACAAGGAAAACCACAATCGTAAAAAGAAGATAGGTAACCGCGTGTCGACAATCTTGACCACGTGACAGAAGTCACAATTTTTTTTTTTTGCTTAATCGAAGTACACGCCAAAAGCTACAAAAAAATCATCGAGCTCGAGTGATAAAAATTCGTCCGATAAAATCTCTATCGAAAGTTTCGGTAATAGTTGCCTCGGCGATACCAAATTGCGAACTTGCTTACGGGCGGAATGTTTCCACGTGAAGCAAAGAGCAAAAATTTTCATCTAGAAATAGATTGGGTGCGCGTACGGCATGTGTGTGTGTGTGTGTACGTGCGTGTGCAAGAGTGCACACGCCCGTCTATATTTTCGCGGTGCTTTTCAAGCGCTTCCTTGTTTATTTAAAATGCATGTAGGAAGAAATTTCGCTACGAGTCGCGCGTATGTGCATACATTTTTTTCTCGTTACGCGAATACATCCTGTGAAGTAGCAGAAAAAAAAACCCGGCACGTGGGCTGCGCCTCTCGTAATATATTTTTCTCCGCGTCGCGGTTAATTTTTATCGAGGATGAACGCGGAGATAAAAGTTAATGTATTTTTAAAAATATACACTCTCACAGGTATGTATCAGACTATCATTCGAGTTGTATCAAAGGATTAATAATAGATCTACACGCTTATTGATTTTTTGTATTATAAAAAAATATATATACACATCGGTACGCAAAGTTAGTATAGGGCTTCCAGTAATGATACTCATGCGCGAGTGTACGTACGTGTGTGGACAATTCAATGATGCAAAGTGTACATTGTTGATCGAAAGAGAAATCGAACCTCAGGCTCGCACGTGCCTGCATCCAATATGCATTGACAAAAAAAATAAGGTTTAGCCTATCGAACTTCCGATGTATAGATTTAGTTACGTAAAGAAGAATCTATTACGGTAAATTAGTTCAACAATACTTAAAACAATAGCCTGTTTTGTTTTGCATATAAAATCTTCCTTGACACACAATAAAAAAAGAGTCATGCTTCGGACAAAAGATCTATTTCAAAGATAAACTAATGAATCTATGTTAGAATTGGCGGGTGACAAGATGTGAGGATGTCTTGGCTGATGTGTGTGTGTTATGACTAGTTCTCGATACATTTTGAGCAGTGATTTTTGAAATTCATTAATTATGAATTCTTATTTACTGAAGTGAAAGTTTGTTGTGCCTATTGTCCCGGTCAAAATGAATCACGCATACTTAATTAATAATCCTATTACAATTGAAACGTACTTCAAATCTTATTTCCTGGCATAATATGCAAATTTTTGCGAAAGATAACAATTTTATGTATTCATTGTTCTTTACGATTT